TGGCCTACCTGGGCTTTTGATCAGAGTTGCAATTCTTAAAGGGGAGTCTGAGAACCCTAATGACATCACCAGGACTTCGAGTGCGACGAGAGACGAGTTCATCCGCCCCCTCTTTGCTCAGAGTCTCGTTCGGGCAAACACACCTGCTGCGGAGTTGGAAATAGGTCAGAAACTCGTTCATGTAATACGCTCTGCTTATACTGATTACTTTCCAGTTGTTTCTACTAAGGACGGCAATATCATAAGCGAGCGCGAGATCTTGGTTATGGTAAGTATGTCCGTTCTTTGATTCCAATAATTGTCTCACCTCGAATAGGCCGCCTCGTGGGTGTACAACCCCATTTATGACTGTAGGCGCGTAGCGTACGAGGGAATCAAGCATCCCCGGGCTGGCTTTGGGTTCGGCGCGATATATGGTGTCGCACTCAATGCTAGGGTTGAGTTTGTGTTAAAACACTTCATCCCACCACTTTCCACCCTTCTTCCAATTGAAGTGAGTGTTTTGAATTAACTTATGATGTATTTTTTATTATGCTCCATAGAAAAACGGAATAGTTTGGTTTCTCCAGTCGAGGTTCGCTAAATCACTCCTCTGGCATATCGTTTTTAGGGTCACTAGGCCGCACGGTGCCCGAATCCACACGTCCCCTAACCTACCACAGGTCGTCGCTGATCTTGAACCTGATGCGTTCAAAGGCGCCTCCAACCCGCCATTAGAAACCCTCGCCTTTGTGGGGTCTTTTGTCAGTGTGTCTAATTCATGGGCTTTTCGTTTTTAAAACTGTCACATTGCATTAGTGTTTCCACGCGCTGCTCCGATTCCTGAAGAGGGCCATAAAAGCGCACCGCGGTCTTACCTCCATGGAGGATTATCCGACTCCCCGCGAAATTCATGACCAAATAATTGTAACAATAATCATGTTACTGCAACAGCACGACGATCCAGGACTGCCTTCACTCCAGGCCCAGATGCTCCAGTTTTGTGACCTTCGGTGAGTTCGCTTTCTAAGAGATCGTTTCTATGTTGCTAGCTAACGGCAATGTTTCATGTAGCACGATTGATGTTGTACGGATTGTCCGCCAGTAAATTTGCCTCTCATATCTTGTCCGTGCTTGCTCCCTCATGTTACCACTTGTATTTGCTACTTGTGATTATCGCTTTGGTCCTGTGATCTCCTAAACCGCATGCGCCATTTTATGCAACCATCGAGCCAATCAGTTGGTTGAGTTGCCTCGTCTTGCGATAAGCTCAAGGAACGTGTTTAAAATGTGTGCATATTTTTTTTATATTTAATTCTGTCGCTGACATATGGTGTTTAGAGTTTGATTCTATTCTCCGCCATCTTGCCCGGAGCAGGTTTGGCGGAGATTACAAAGCTATGGCGGATATGGTGATTCCGTGTTTAGAGTTTGATGACATTTTCTGCCATCCTGCCCAGAGCAGGTTTGGCGGATTACAAAGCTTATGGCGGATGATGGCGATCAAACTTTAAAAAACTCATGTAGGCGGATGAATGGTAAGTTGTCACTTAGGCGATCGTGTGACTATCCTTTGAGCCTTTGCTCCCCACCAGCTTCAACATGTTGAGTGTTAGGTCGATCCCAACATGTAATCCTACGTTTTGCCTATTGGATAAGAAACAATTGTTCGGAATTGAACATGACGAAAATGCTCTGGCAAATTGGCTTCAAGAACGCGTGGTCCCGTCACTGTCAGTACTCTGAGATGTTTTCATGTTCTTTTCTAATAATTTCACCTCCAGCTTCAGATTCCCTCTTTATCACAACTGTTTGTGCTGTTTGGATTAGTCGACTCGCATGATCTTGCAGGTCTCCTTGAAGTAGCCCTTGAGGAGGTTGAGACGCAAATACCTCTCCATCAAGAAGAGGAGAACTGCTCGGTATTCCTTCAGCGAGGAGGGCGTTGTTTTATGGAGCACAGGATGTATCGCGCTCAAATAGAAGTGTCATTGTTCAGTAAAGCTATTGCGAACTTATGCGAAGAGCTGAACACTAGAAACCAGCCAGGTAAACTACGTTGTTGAAATAATTGTATCAACAACACTTAATTTATTCCTAGTTTCGTGGCATGTAGGCCCAAATTTGACACTCCTCGCGGTGAACCCTGTTGGGTATGTGGAAACATGCCCACCACCTAGCTCGCTCGATTCCAAGTGCTTCTGACCTACAAAGGCCATGGAGAAGGCTGCTCATGACAAATGTCATGCCTGGCTTCTCGTGTCATCTCAATCTCAAGACACTACGCAAGTTGCTTCTAATGCCGGCACCCCCCCCCAACTCTCCTCGTCTTCAAGAATCCCTCCTTAGGGTGAGTGTGTGTTGAATTCTGAGGAACCTGGTGTTTTAACCTTTGAACAGCGTGGTGACATACTTTCCTCCCTGCCCCGTTCGATGAAATCTTGGGTTGATAATGCGACATATTCTATGTACATAAGCGCGTGTTTTGCAGAAACCAACGAGCCCCTACGTATCGACAATAAAGAGAGGTTCACCCGAAAGGAGTACAAATCGCCGGATACGCTCATGTCTATTTTCCATATTCTGGACTTGAAGACGCAGCGCGCACAGGCCGAAGCAGATATGTTTTCCGAAGCTATTGAACGCACCGCTGAGATTGAGCTCACTGATGACGGTAGGCGTGCAGCTTTGTTTTAATTATATCACACTAAAATCAGTGTAGGTTTGTCTTCTGGTTCAGGAACGACTACGACATGTGATTCACGTTCACCTCATGATTGGTTTGATGATTGGTTTTCTTCTTCTTCTGCACCTTCTAATGCTTCCGACTCTGACATGCTGTGATACTCTCAACTTTAGTTTGTAGCCATTTACCCTCCCAAGTTGAAGTTGATCTGCCATGACTTTCACTAATGTATCGACGTTCCACGAAATTCGGATGTACGTTCAGGTTTGATCTATGTTATTTCCTACTACTCTTGTTCTATCATATCTTTATTTGACATGCGCCCGTGATATGAAATACCAGTGATGATTTACGTGTTCATTGCCCATCTGGCGATCTGCGACTCGGAGTCCCAAGTTTGATTTCTTTTGGGAGAGGGGTGGGGGGGGGGGGGGGGGGGGGGGGGGCATCCCGTTCGGTCCGATACTCGCCGATTTCACGACCAAAACTTAACACCAGTGGTATTCTAGTACGTGCCCTGTGCCTAGTAGCTAACTTATTATCACACTCACCGAGATCACAGGATCTATAGCCGTCTCAAGACTCACTGAATTCGCCATTGCAACTCCTGCATACCCAATAAATCATCCTGCCGGGTCAACCCTAGCAAGGATCCAACAACTACAGTTTTATCAAGTATGTAATTACCAAAAGGCGTCGCAGAACCACCTTGACACCCCATCCAGTCATGCTGCCCACTACTTGTTAGCAATTTGGGCCCTTGGAACATCTGGCCCTTTGATCACATGAAGACACTCACCTCGACCATATGCATGATGCTTTCCAGGCACCTGACCGCGTTGTCATCGGATTCTCACGACAGTCAGAGATATCCGCAAGAGCTGCAAATGGTGTGTTATTCGATGCGCAGCGTTGTAGACGCAGCCTCATGGATTTGGTCTGTTCTAGCCACGTCGTTTTTTCCACCTTGGCTCAGCAAGGCATGCTGGACTATCCGGTTTTTGGACTAAGTCTTACTAGAAATGATACCGGAACATTTACCCTCGGTGAGTCCCTGCCGAGTGCCTGGCTTACGGATACTCATGTCTTTGTGTTGAACAGGGGCTATCGATGTATCTGTCGTGCAAAATCTCAGCCAAGTTGTATTGAATGAGGTCGTATCCTTATCTCCGGTCGGTACGCAAACAAATACTTCTGGCTACGTTTTCTGGGCGATTCGTATGAGTAGCTTCGCGGTAAGGCATTTGATCCTGCGATCACAATGTGGAATACTGACTTTTTTCAAGGTCAACGGAACCCAGTACACTCCTCAACCAACCTATCCTGGCCCAAGTGACAACTCATCGATTGCTCTTTTGGATGTGTAAGTAGCCAGTAGCTTATCTACATATGTGCGCGCTTAACTCTCTGCCACAGCGGCACTCTAGGACTGTATGGCCCATATCAAGATGTCAGCTCCTGGTTTTCTTGTCGACCGACTAATCTTTATGTTCTTCTAGGTAACACGATTGTACAGTTCATTTCCCAGTATGCCTAGTTGACGAAAGTAAGTTATAATATCAGCTTTGGGTGACTAGCGGTTGATTAAGTAGCCTGTGTATGCGCAAAAATCTATCTCCCAGGGAAGGAAATTCGCTTGTTTTGGAACCTACCGATTATATGTTTGGCCGGGGATCCCGGATCTTTGTTTATCTTGGTTTAAAGCTTCACCCCCCAGTGCCGATGGAGCCGACTGGTTGTTAGGTACAATAGCCTGCGATATATTCCGTGCCGCTTAATATCACTAAACCCTTCACTCGTCCAGGAACTCCATTTTTGCGGACCGTCTATTCGATAGGGAGGTATGTTGAACTTCCTGGTTTCTTTTCAGATATTGTTTATCAGGTTTTTTGTGTAGTTACGGAATTGACTACCAGGAGCCCCCAATGATTAGCTTATATCCCCGCAACAATGCTTCAGCACCTGTACAGCCTTTTTCAGTTGTCAAATCCTCCTTTTTGTCCGAATTTGCGACAATTGCTACCACCCTGCCCAACTTTGTCTACACCCACTTACACAACACCGTCATATGCATTTAACACATCGGTTCCAGCCGTCTATAGCGAGATTGTGCAATCTGAGCTCGCGACGAGCACGTACAGTCCCCTCATAGGGACACTCGCCATTAACGCCACCGCCCTCCCTCAGGTGTCTGGTGCATACACACATCACGTTACGAATTCAAACACTCTTTATAATGGATCGTCGTCGATTTGACAGTGTGCCATCCTTCCTCAGCTCTACGTCAAGTTAAGCGGCGTGAGTGCATACTTCTCCCACCCTTTCATACTTTTGTTCACCTTCCAATGCTCGCAATGAGCGTATTTGATCCTCATACGAAGCATTCGAACCCGCTTCCTCTTCCAGAAGCCGTCAGCGATCCAACTGCAGCTGGTGAAACTGCAGTAAGTGCTTCGTAATTGAAATCTGTCGCTCTTGCCATGTTGACTGCTGTCACGGTGCGTTCTAGGCAAACCCCCGTGGCAAAACTCGTCAGTTGTTACAGAGGTTCAAGAAAAATGTAACTGAACAAATATCCGTAAGTCAACGGCGACAGTGAGTTGTGCTGAAATAAGGTGCTGAAATCGTACAAAGCGCTTCATCAGCCGTGGACCTACCCAAAACCTCAATCATGAGGGTGCTCCATTGACTCCGAATATCGAGGTAAGTGGTCAAACTCGCGCGTCAGCTACTGTCCTGTTTCTGAATTCTGATGGTCCCGCGGGTTCAGAATACCCCCTCTGGTGTGAAAGAAGGTGTTGTTCCCAAATTGGCGGTCGCGCAAGTCCAGGGAGTCCCTTCTGTCGTGAAAGAATCAGTGGACGCGGTACTTCAAGCTGCCGATAAAGCTGCAGTTAATATGAAGACCCATTCACCCATGGAAGTGCAGAGCAGGAGCGCAGCGGGCAGTGGTGAGAAATTACTCATGAGTTGTCGTATAAGAAGTGGTTCAAATCGGCTCTCACAGGTATTTTCATCGTGCACCAAAACGCTCAAACACATCCCAAGCCAATCTTGCTGCCCCTGTAGCAGGAGGTTATCGGGGCGGCACCCGTAAAGGCCTTGATTTGACATTTGGTGGCCCCGTATGCACTCAAGCGTAGAACAAATATCTCAAACCACTCGGGATATTCAATGGTGACATCTACGTATAACATTTCGCAATCGTCGGTTACTTTAGGCGTCCCCCTTGGGTTGCATATTTTTCGCGACATAGTAGTTGCTTAACCTGTCGCGCCCTCACCCGCCGCGCCCTCATTCGCCGCGCCCTCACCCGCTCCCCCCCGGACTCTCATCGATTTTATCCTACAGGCACGTCAGCAATAACCGCCACTCAATTTGTATTCACCACGCACCTCTGTAAGATCCTCGCGATCCTCGCCACATGCCGCTTCAACCACCCTTTCCTCCCCTCACCACCGACCGCCGCCTCCCTCTTCACCCTCTCCTGCATGCGTCTCACCTCCCTCTCCCACGCCTCCCTCTCCCGCGCCTCCCTCTCCTGTAGCCTTCTTGCGCTATAGCTAGATCAGCCACGCGTCGACTGATTTGTCCGATATCGATATCAACGTACCTTTCGATACTACAGTACTGCTGCATTGTCATCGTTGATTAGTATGAGATCGCGGTCGAAGAATAATATCTAATCACATTATTTTGCGGTCCCATGAGTCCTTTGTTGTTGTTTGAAGTGCTATCGAACAGGGTACTGATAGTGTGTGTTTAAAACAGCGTCTACCTATTCTGGCTGGTCTCGCCAAACATTTCTTATAAAACCAGTCACAGCCACGCGCACCCATCCGTTGTCGCTCACGCTCATTTTCGTCAGCATAAACCTGCTCCATCCACGCACTCAATCTTCACCTTCAGTACACAGCAAGGACAAACTTGACGTTGACGGCACGCACAAGAACGCGGTCCTATTCAGTGGGACTACGGGTACGTTCAATGCTTGCAGTTTATTGCTTCCTTAATGTGGTCATTCGGCTCTCAGGCCAGGGTCAAGTTACTGCAGCGACTCCGGACGGTGAATGTCTGGGACTCGTTTTCAGATGTACAAGATTTTGGCGCTGAACTGCCTCATCACCGCGTACAGCTTGTCGGTCCAGTATCTCGACGGTATCAAGTTCGGTGATTATCAGGTAACGGTTAGCGGAATGTCGATGTCCGTCTGTTTCCTAGCCCTGGCCAAGGTGCGTCCATGCTTGACCGATTTGTTTTGGCCATACTGAGCGTTCGACGACAGCCGGTTGAAAAACTCTCCCGGGAGAGGCCACTAGGCAACATCTTTAACCTCTACCTCCTACTATCCGTGCTGGTCCAGTTCGCTCCACACATCATATCGCTCGTTTACATCACGAACTTGTCGCATTTCCATGAGCCCTAAGTCTCGGTCTATTTTATTCTGAAAATTTTCTGAGTTCTTTGTAGAGCTGGTATCATTGACCTCGAAGTTCGAGCCCAGTCTCTTGAACACCGCCATCTACCTTCTGGGCCGCTCTCAACAGGTCTCGACATTCACTATCAACTTCCAGGTAAATTATTTCGCTGAGCATGTTGAAGTTGATACAATGGATGACATTTCCTTACAGGGCCGCCCGTTCCGTGAGGGAATCCGCGAGAACTCGAGCTTGTACTGGGGACTTATTGGCGCTAGTGCTGTTGCATTCTCTGGAGCTTGTAGACAGACTTCATGCCCGAGATGAACAGATGACTACAAATCGTCGAGATGGAGGGACTGGTGCGTCGCTTCCTGATATTTCGCGTCAAAGTCTTACTCTTGTTCTCTTAGTTCAAAGTGAAGTTAACCAGCGTCATGATCGCCGACTTTGTTGGTTGTTGGATTATCGAGAAGCTCTGCAAACGCCTCTTCGCAGATCTCGAACCCAAACCGTTAGTCACTCGGGGTAGGGAACGGAGGGAGGCGGGACGAAGGGAAGAGGCTAGATTAGCAGAAGAGGCAGCTGCAGAGAAGAAACAGTAAATACGCTGCATACATGTAGCTAGATGCCCCACGCAAAGCTTTCGAGATCATAATAATATTGTAGACTTCTCCTGAGTATGTTCGGAACGGAGTGGACCGTCGCTTTAAGCTCCGCCTGAAACACATCCAAATTGGTGCAGATAGATTATACGACGTTGCACTCGTGTTCAAGTCAACTCACAAGCAAAACATTCGCGCCCTTGTAACCTTTCTCTGAACCCGTGCGGAGGCGCTGAGATGCTCAATTTTGAAGATGTCGAAGAGCGTGATGGTTTGTTTCACTGATATCTTGCCATATCATTGATTAGCTTAATATTTGACTTTTGATTTCAGGTGTTCGTCTTTCGTGGAATGTATGGCCTTCTTCTCGGATAGAGGCGACACAGACGGTGGTCCCGATATCGGCGCTTTATACGTCTTTGAAGCAGCGAGAGGATCTTCCTCCAGTAATATACGAACCCGTGAGGTGTAAACCCCCGTGTCGTGCTATTCTCAACCCGTATTGGTATGTCTCTTCTCTTCCTTACTCGAGCTCTACTAATCATAGACGTAGTCAAATCGATATCAGAGGCAAACTATGGATTTGTCCATTCTACTTAACTCGCAATCCTTTCCCGCCTCATTATAAAGACATCTCTAACACCAATCTACCCGCCGAACTGCTTCCAAAGTACACGACAATTGAGTACACACTATCTCGTCCTGCTCAGGTTCCTCCCGTCTTCCTGTTATGGTACATATCCATATTTATTCATACCCACGTGCAAGTTTATCACCTTAACTGCCAGACACAAGTACACGAATTGGGTTATGCCGAGTGCAGCAAAGTATATGTCTTCCGTGGTGGCAAGGAGTATACGCAGAAACAGATTCAAGACATGCTCGGACTCAGCACGACAACTCGCGCCGCACCCCGCACCGGCCAGCCCATGCCCCAGCCGCCCGTTTCTTGCTTCCTGTACAGCAATGCGAATTCCAGCTCACTGGTATTTTGGAAGTACTTGCAAGTGATCCTTGGCCCGTTGTCAATGACAAGCGCGCTTTACGTTGCACGGGTGTGGCCGTCAGTGTAGCCGTTGGACTCCTGGAGGTGCGCATATCAATTGTGGTGAGAAAAGCACCCGAGTGATGATATTTTCCAGACGACTTTCCCTAACACGGGCGCACGCATAATGATTTCTACGGGCGGGCCTGCAACAGAGGGTCCCGGCATGGTTGTCAGCAATGAGCTGAAGGAACCCATTTGCTCTCATCACGACATCGAACGAGACAGCGTCAAGCACTACAAACGCGCTATAAAGGTTCGTCCTAGATGACTGCAATCATGTGCGATGACACCATAGTTCGCTTTGTTTTAGTTCTATGAAACTCCGGCGAAGCGAGCATCTAACAACGGCCATGCTGTCGATCTGTTTGCTGGTTACTTGGATCAAGTGGGCTTGCTTGAGATGAAGTCCCTACCAAACTCGACAAACGGTGTTATTGTACTATCGGATTCATTCGCTACGTCGATCTTCAAGCAAAGCTTCCTGCGCATGTTCAATAAGGACGACCAGGACTTCTTGCAGATGGGCTTCAATGCGATATTCGACGTACAGGCAAGTCGTGTCGGGGGTCCTGGTTCAGTGGCTGGAGTCCTGGCTCGTAGGTACTAGTCACTACTGCATGTTGTAGTCAGTCCTCGTCCATCATCATACACACATCTACGCTCGCACATCCTATCCAACGCTCTCACATCTAATCATCTCCCCAAATACGACTCAAAGGCCAACCAGGCATTTGCAACCCGCCTCGCCAGCGTCCTCCAACCAGGAAACCTGGTATGGGTCCACGACTACCATCTCTTGTTAGTCCCTCGCATGCTCAGGAATGCGATGCATTCTGGTGCCGTGAGTGCTTTTTAACGATGACGGCAAGAGTACTGATATACTACGCGTAGGGTCATCGGTCTTTTCGTGCACACGCCTTTCCCGAGTTCTGAGGTGTTTAGGTGTTTACCGCGTACGTCCTCCCCCATTCCCCACACGTCTACATTCCTTCCTCGATCACCCTAATCAGCACACTAACCTAACGCACCTCCCTAGGCCGCAAAGACATCCTTGACGAAATGCTAGGCGCCAACCTCATCTGTTTCCAAACCTACAGCTACACCCGCCACTTCACTTCCACCTGCCTTCGTGTGTGCGGGTATGAAACTACTAGTAGGGTGCTATGGCTGCGTCTGCTAGTGCTTCGAGGGGTGCGAGCGTTGCTCTCCCCTGCGTTAACAGACTGTCCAAAGTTCGAACGTCAAGTTTCTGAACTCGTCGCGCATATCAATGGGGAACATGGGAAATTGTATTTCATACCCGTACACCACTAGTGCGTGTCCCTTTCATCACGTCTTTATGTGTCTAATTCATGATTCGTACCGCATCTAATCCCTTTCCATATCGCATTTAATTCCTTCCCATACCCTTTCCACATCACACCTAACCGCTGCCACCCCACCCCCTACAGCCACCCGACCCTCAGAAAGGACGAATTTCCACGCACTGCTGAGCGCTGCAGACCTCAGGGTGATCACACCCCTCAGGGACGGAATGAACACGACCTCCATGGAGTTCGTGATCGCGCAAGAGCGCACGAAGAGCTCTTCTTTCGTTTTGAGCGAGTTTATGGGTATCAGTCAGCATATGGCTGATGCGCTGCAAGTGAATCCTTGGGATCTTGGAGTGCGTAGTGTCTGTTCATTTCGAAAATCTTCGGATGATTGACAAATGTGTTGTGAGCAGGATGTAGCGGCTGCCATGAACCGCGGGTTGGTGATTTCGGAGGAGGAGAAAGCGTCAAGGCACGCGGTGTTGCACAAGGTCGTAACGACTCACACCTCGCACACGTGGGCTGCGGTCCATGTACGTGTTGAGATACTGTCGTGGAATATGTGATAAGAACGTTGATGTGCTTGTGCCTTAGAGTTTCTATAGACCAATAGTTATTGTTTTCATTTCGTCGATGCTGGGAGTTTGGCGCACAGGATGTACAAGGGGCTTCGCGGCTTATATTCAGATGTAAATACTTTCGAGTCGTGTGTGCTGCTTGTCACGATTTATGTGTAGCTTGGAGTTCTAATCAATTATACATTATACTTACAAGTGATTCCCTTTCAGTCGGCACTATGCAGTATGCGGCGAGTGCAAGCTAGTATCTATAGGACGCCTAAGTCTACTGTAAATGCTCGGCCATGTTGGCAGTGGCCAGACAAGCAGGCTGTCACGATTGTAGTTCTTGCACCTTCTATGCAATTCAGCTAAGCTATATCTCACTATTTAAAAAATGTCACAGTGGATTATAATTCTACTAGATTTCTCCGGTCATTTTACCTATGTGTTACACCATAGTAAATTTATCTAAGGTTAAAAAATGACGTGCAAGCAGGCTGTCACAATTGTAGTTCTTGCACCTTTTATACAATTCAGATAAGATATATCTCACTGTTTAAAAAATGTCACAGTGGATCATAATTCTACTAGACATGTGATGACCTGCAGCCATGCAGTTATCTCACTGTTGTTTGCTTACAAGATGCACGCCAAGATGGTATTTTTCTGGCATAGTCTTATCTCATTTTACCTATGTGTTACACCATAATAAATTCATTCAAGGTTAGTAAAAAATGATGTGTCATAATGAGTTTTGGTTACCAATCCTGTCTGGTCATATCAATTTCGGGTTGATTTCCTGATGATGTCAGCACTCGTTGTCCGTGTCATATTACCCCTTCTTGCTGCAAATTCTCCCTGTGCGGCTGGCTGCTTCCACCCCTTTACTTTGCATGAGGTTCAAGGGCTAGCACTCAGTTCATCCCTCGAGGCCACTATAACCACCAATTGTGCTGGGATTCTGGGGCTGTGATGTCCATATCATTTCACATGCGTGTACAACGTGATAGTAAAATGTGTCAGAGATGTGCAACTCATTTGGACTGTGCTCCGAATCGATCACGATGTCCTCGTATCATATGCCTGGCATAGGATTTCAATTTGGCGCTTCAAGTTATTCACCTCTTCACATCCTCTGGCGCGATTGTTGGTTGATCGTCGAATATCAGGCATGCTGTGCGGTTTGCTGGAGGTGGGTCTCACAACGCTGTCTCAGTACTTGCTTGTCTTCTGTTGAAGTCATTTGACTCATATTATCTCACCCTACACTAGCCTTTAATGCATTGCAATCCGCGCGAAACGGCTTTAAACCTCCTCGCATTAATGCGCTTCGCGAGCCTGTTCGACGGCGGGAACTTCGAACATGACGGATCTCTCTCCAAAGTACATTGTCGCTCGCTTCTGCTTCAAACATACATCTGCCAATAGTCTGGAGAAAACCATTAAAGAGACCTTGGACATCGCCGCTTTGTCGAATCATGGTGCGTTTTTGTCCATTTCTGGGTGTATGGATCTAAAGTGAAGGTTCCCAGCACCGATGGGCTATGCAAATTAGCTGCGTACATCGCGGAAGTTTGCACAATTGTCATTCAGCTGGGCCGGCAGCACCTGCAGTTCGAACAGCACAGCTCCTACGCTATGGTCGTTTCAAGGCTTGCAATGAGCCATCTTAGCTGTGAATTTACACTGAGCGGGCGGTCAAAATCAAAAAGACGTCACCACCATTATGTAAGTTTAAGTATTCTACCTCAGTTGTTGTGTCTACGGGGATGACTCCCAGCGTATCTATCGAAATTACTAGCATGAAGGCTGTCGCCGCTTTGAAGAGGACCGTCAAGAAGCAGAAGACCCCGATATCGCCTCCGCCTCTCTCGACCTATGAACGGTGAGTGATCCACCAAGATCTGGCACGTTGATGGTTGGTGCTGATATGGTATATCCTGAAAGGTCAGTATCGAAGCGGAGAAGCTGATGATTCATATCCCAGGTCTTGTCGAGCTCCCACTCGACGGTTAAACGAGACTGACATAGAAACAGTATGAACGAATGCATGCCTTGTATATTGAACGTGAAAAAGCTGATTCGATCCAACCGAATGTCTTTTAGCTGACACGCATTCGACTTATGGCCGACCCACGGGGCACTGTTTACATCAAGACCAAAAAGTACGCAAACACTTCATTCACTTGACATATCTACCTCAACCCGATATTGTCTCTACCCATGTTGCAATCAGCAGCATCCTACGCAGTATTCAATCAATAACAGCACCAATGGGAAAGCGGAAACATGACTCACCAATACGAGTCAAAACTTGCTGGAGAAATGTATCGTCTCTAGGAGCAGACCTTATTACCCTTCGCCTGATATTACAAGGCGCAAAAGGTGAGTCATCAGGTGGAAACTGGATGTGAGGCTAACCACTCCTACTCACAAGTGTTTGGCAGCTCAAGCCTTTACAGCAGTCGCTTGTTACCTTGCAACTCTGGAGCGTTCCCTGACATGCACTGACAGACATGGATGCTGCCAACGCAACACTAACGGCGAGGAAAGAGAAACGCATTGTTTGTGCAAGGTGGTATGATTTGCTGAGGTGTTTGAATAAGCTGTTGAGATGGGGCAGACGGTAGGAAGATGACTTGCTTTTATACTCGCGAAATTTAACGTCAGTATTGTAGACAGGATTCTATTTCGCAGAACCGTCACGCATTGTGCATGATACTACACGACGAGGGTTTAGGCAGAACATATCCCCTCCGGTCATTTCATAATAAGCTGAGTTTGTGACTCCTTACGAATATAAACTGAATGGCGGGAAGTGCTTGGACGGTTTTGGTTTGAACTCGTTGACGTGAGTGTCCGCTCTTTTGAACCCACTTACGGGCTCATTTCGGTTGTTGAGCATTGCCTGTTCAATGATGCATGAGCATCCACGTATTCTTTTATGTCAATTCAATTGTCTGCCATTCCTTGGTCATATTCAGATAAATGAATTACATTAACTGATGGGTATATACAGTGATTTCAACGGCGAAGCAAGCCACTTCAAGTTGGTTGTATTGAGCACGAAGTTATGGATCTCATCTTCCACGTCCTTCTGGTCATTAGGGATAGTTGTGCCCGTACTTGTGCTGATACACCAAAAATACTGGTCACTCTACTACTATGGTGGGTCAAATTAACCTTTGTAATATCATGCTTGCTAACTGTGACGCGCTCGCGAGGGTTAATACACATGGCATCTCCCATTCAAAGGTTTAGCCAACGGCGCTGTAGGCACAAACTAAGGGTTCATCGTAGGTAACTTACGCAATGGTAAGATCAAGTGACAAGTCATTGAATTGAGCATCCCCGTTAGAATTCAGATATCTACAGGCATTGCAGAACGGTTCTTCCTACTATCGCCATAAAGAACAGTATTCAGCACATAAAACGAAGGTGTCTTCAAGTTCATACTGCATGTAACGAATCTAACGATCCCAGATCACATCCCCACAAACGTTGATGTGTTTCTCCCTTGTCCTGTGTTCCTGGATGATACTCGAGTTTGGACTCCTTCATAGGGCAGTCTGAAGGAACCACCGTCTGACTAATCTGACAAGAAAAGGATGGAGGTTCCCCGCGCTTTGTATGGGTACGTCGGGCATATTCACATTAACACCAGTGTTAAATTCGCATTCCACCCAACTTCTGACAAGTAACCACTGCTGCTTTCGTGCTGGATCAACGCATCAGCAAACGAGCATGACAAAGTGTCATTCAATTTGTGTAAAATTTCATTGTATCGATATCATTAATGACCGACTTGCAAGCGCATTCGTCCTTGGTGAAGAAAATGAATATGTGTTCTTGACATCTTCTCTGCACGCGAGCTTCCGGTTCTGGTTTGCCGGCCGCTGTGCTGACGGACGTTGCCACATATGTAAGTACATTGATATAGTCCTCGTATGTTTCATACACGATACTGCTCCTGTTTCATAGTATAATTGCTGGATCGCATGCACGTCCATAGCATATCTACGTAGTGACCTAGCGTTCGTTCTCAACTGATATATATTCATATCACCTTTTCGTCAATTCATCAAATGCCGCCAATGTGGTATGCAAGTAGAACGGTGGCCTGCTATGTTGAACTTATCCGTATTCGCACCCGGGCCTCCAATTCTGACAGTGATCCCAGAAAAAACAGTACTCTGATACAACGATGTAATGAAACTACATATTGAAATGTGGAATAAACGTGGTCCAAGCTACCGTGTCATATACGCCAAGAGGCAGCGATCGTAAGCTCAGCATCATGAGTACAATTAGTGTAATGCGTGCAACAATATATATGAAGGGGCTGATCAACAGAACGAGTATCTCGCTCGCCATGCCAAAATCCCCCATATTGCCCATCCACATAGCATACCGAATAGCAAGAAAGAGAGGTACCGGTGCACATACTATCCCAAGGGAAGCCGTACGCCATAATATGTGTTCTGCGTGTCTCTGGAACAAGTAATTCCAGCCCAGACAATGTATCCCTCCAAACACCATACCACTGAAACATCCAATGAGAAGTACGATCATATCATGATACTTACCATAGCCACCTAGAGATACAACCTGATGAGAACGGGGAGCGGGGTCGAACATGGAAACATTAACGCCTATAAGACTGCCAAAGGGATACACGATATATATCGAAGAGCGTGCCCAGCCTGCTTGGAAGAAACCCACATCTGCCTCGCTAGAATGCAGGTGAATCAGAGCCATCTCCGGCAATCGCAATGATGACGTACTCGTAGGTTAAGTCGCTCGGTGATATTCTTGCCTTCCAATGAATGATGTAAGGGCATCCCACATCCTTGGGCTTCTTCCACCACAAGCCATATGCAACGCAGGTCAAAGCTGCTACAGCCAGAGTGTCGATTTCAAGCAGGGTGATTGGAAGGTTCTGACCGTAGCGAGCGACGAGCTGGACGACAAACCACGCCAGCTGAAGAAGGGCGATTGCTTTTGATAATCCATCACCCTTACTTCGATCGTTTATCTCTGCCTCCGAGATAAGAGGCATGTCCACGTATCCGTCACCAACAAACTCCAGGAGTTCATGGGGAGTAAGAGTGACTCGCGGCTTGCCATCAACGTAGAGCATAAATCCACCCATCCATGCGAAGAACCCATGGGTCATTGTCCATTCTATGAAGGCATTGGATGCATGTTAGTCCTGCATGACCGAAGAGTCCGAGCACGTAACTGACCTTTAAACTCTTCTGCAGGTCTGGGAGTGCTTGAACTTTCACGAATGTCACTGAACAATGTAGCTGTGCCCTCTGATATATCTCGATCGCCGCTATGGGTCTGGGCACGTTGTGCACCAAATTCATTATTAAATTTCTTTGCGGTAGCACGAGCGCTGAAAAACTGCCGCGTGGCCCAGGTGATCATGAGTTCTGGGGCGATCAACGCCGCGACCATGAGGAACACACGACGAGAGGTAATGGCGACTCTGCTCTCCTCCATGCCCGGAATGTTTGTATGGATCGCAGTCCATGTGCATGCAAAAAGGGTCAAGCCACAGCTCAACAGAATGTTCCACAAGGTTCTGGTGCTATTGCTGCATGGGGAGTCGCTGGTATCGAGTGTATGGATGATACTGGTATCGTTGAGACTCGGGAGTGAGGCGCAAACAAGCTGAATGTATACAAGGACAGCGTAGGCCTGCAGGAGAGTCATTGCGATTGTAGAATTGAGGGCATGCTGATGCTACTCTGTTATCTCCCTCGTTAAGGGCAGGGCAAGGATTAAGCGCTAGCCACAGCCTCACGGGCGCCTTTGAAAAAGATGGACCACGTAGTACGAACAGTGAGTGATCGACCAAGTCCTGTACATTGGTTGGTGGCTGGTGTTGATATGATTTGATATCCAGTACTTGGAAGGTCTGTATCGAAGCGATATGCCAGGTCTTGTCGATCTCCGACTTGACGGTTAAGCAAGACTGACACGCCAAACGACATGAACGGCTGCATGCATATATGCGTTGTGAAGTGAGCGAGTGATAGGCGGTCAAAAAGGGAATGTTCCGATTACAACGGCATTTACATATTTGATGGCCGATCAATATCGATCAATGGTTTGGATCGAGTCTCTTCGATGTCTTCAACTCACGTCTCACTATTCCTAACTGTCGCCACCGATTTTTTCACCGCAACGTCTCTCTAGTTGACTAGATAAAAATATTCCTTCGCCGTTCTCGACACCCTAGGCTTGGCCAACCTCTGGCAACGACAACTTTTGTCCTCGTAACAATTGGGCTCGGGCAGTTCTGCCTACCTCCAACCTTCCCGGTGCCCTTCCTTCACTCCTGTTGACTCTCCTTTGACTGTTTTTGACCCCAATAGTTACCTTGGAGGTGGCTAGATCGAAGACCCGCAGTAGTCAAAAGCCCATTAGTTTAATCCATGGTCCTCCTGGTACAAGAAAGACCGTGACTTCTGCTTTGAACATCTATCATCTCGCCAATCCCTCTAGTGCTTAACTATAAGCAGGTTGTCCTCGTCGGCGATAACCAGCAGCTTTTTCCGGTTATTATGAACAAGAAAGCGGCGGGCGCTGGTTTGACACAATGGCTCTTCGAACGTCTGGTCGTACTTGGCAACAGACCCATTCGTCTGCAAGTCCAATATCGTATGCACCCTTCCCTTTTTGAATTTCCCTCGAATATGTTCTATGAGGGCCGGCTGCAGAACAGCGTCACTGCTCCCGAGCGTCTTCGCAAGAATATCGATTTCCCATGGCACGCCCCGGACACCCCGATGTTCTTCTACCAAAAACTTGGTCAGGAGGGGATATCATCCAGTGGAACTTCGTTCCTTAACAGGTACTTTCCATGACTCCACCTCTCATTTACACCTGCTTATTGATACACTGTTTCCAGGACGGAAGCATCTAACGTCGAGAAAATTGTGGCAAAGTTCTTGAAGGCGGGTGTAATGTCTAGCCAAACTGGTATTGTCACACCCTACAAGGGCCAATATTCAGTTCAAGAGGTCTCTCAAGGACTTGTTTTAAGATATTGAAGTGGCTAGTGTTGACACCTTCCAGGGACGAGAGAAGGACTACGTCATTCCGAGCCGCGCCAGAAGTAACGAACACCAGGGCATCGGTTTTTTGAATGACCCTCGTCGTCTGAATGTGGCTCTGACTCGTGCAAAGTATGGAGTCGTCATCCTTGGAAATCCAAAGGTTCTCAGCAAGCCAAGTTGTTTTGGTGGATGATCTTGCAGTTTGCTGACCGATTGTCTGTCTGCATAGTGGTCTGCGTGCTGTTCTCCGCGTACGCGGTGTTCGACTTTAAGTACTTATGTAATGCTTATGCCGGGGATGTGAAATCAGGATATGCAATGCGCCAGTCTATAGATGGCTTGCTAATACACTAGGTTGACCGTCTGAGCGACGTGATACCCCGGGAACAAGTAAGGTATAGGCTGATCATTTTAACAAGGCCGTTAAGAAAGTCATAACTGGTATCTGAATTTCAATGAATGCTACGTATGATGGCAAGCGTTTATCGGGAGCAACACAAGTATCTTCAAATACATCCAGTAGTAATCTCTATTCGAACGGAAAGGTTCTGAAGGGAGTGGCCGCTTAGCGGGTGCGGGAAGCAGCAGTCCTTGCCTGTTGAGTGCGTGAAAGACACGGGAAGCACCTTTCTATAGAAGCGCAAAGCAGCTGATGTCTGGAACGTACTCAACGTCCAGCGGGGAACGGGGTGGGTTCGTTGCAGCAGAAGCACTGGCACTTCCAGTCTGCAAGGTTGCCGGGGTAGTTCCATAGGTCACATTGGAAGTGTCCACTGGGGATGCGCTGCTGCTTGAAGCACCAGCGTTCGCTACACTAGTGTTGGAAGCGTGGGCTTGCTGGGGAAGAGGACGTAGTCGCTGCACCACATGCCTTTTCCCGCTGGTGGTATTAGTGGTGCGCTGCAAGGATGTCATCAAAATAGGATCATAGATTGCCACAGCTCGGGAAAATTACGTATTTACCTGGAGCTGCGAATACATCCACGATCCTGCTAGGAAGGGGAGTATCACTCTGAAGAGTGGAGGAGCGAGAAAAGAGACAGTTCATCATGATTCGTGAGTCTTCGGCATGGTGCGTGGTTGCAGTTGCGTCCAGATGAGGAACGTGTATACTGCAGACGGATGGTGAGTGGTGCATTCACAATTTGAGACTACCGTACCATATGGACTGACATCATCGAAGAACCCAGGAGGGATCCCAGCGCGTTGTGGGCGAGGATTCGGGCCTGGATGGTCTTCTGCAGATACTGAGGTTAGGGATAGTACAAAACGACAAGTATGAACGAGTACTTTAAGAAATTTCTGTGCGGATTTATATGATATATCAGCATGAAGCGTAACATGAGGAGATAACTCTGAGGAACTGTCCATGTGCGAACGAGATGTCTCGATGATCATATGAGCTGGCTGTCCTCGGAAAAGGTCACACAACGGGCGACTCGAGGGTGCTCGAGTGGCTCGCTAAAGGGTTCGAATGCGGTCAAGTCAAAGAACCGCGTCGTTTAGTCGTGAAAAGTGGTGCCGACTTTGGTCCCAATGCCCAGTGAGAGAAAGTGTTCGATGTGCACGTCAAACTGCAGTTGTTTGATGATGTTTCCAGTGGCAGCGACTGAGATTCGGAATTTCGGATGTCGTTGTAATTTCCACTGAGGAGACGACCGGAGACCGTCATCTGGAGTGAATGCGACTTTGAATGTCCGCTGTTCTATTTTTAGTAGTTCTTCTCCACTTGCTGAATTCCAGACGAGGATGTATTTGTCCGTGCCTACTGCTATTGGCCCGAGCACTATTTTGCCCGTCTTCCTGTGCCACACGCATACTGTTTCATCTGATGATGCACTTGCAAATGTCGAGCTGGTGTCCGGTGCAAATACAATGCTCCAAAGGTAAGCTTTATGGCCCTTGAACGAGACGGGCACTCTCTTGTGTGTCTCGACCTCCCAGATCAGGATGCTTCGGTTCCGCGCTCTACTTACAATCTAACACCTATCAAAAGATGCTGTAACTGTCTCGACTTGATGATCGTGACCCAATAAGGGCTCCCCCACTTGTTTCTCCGTGTCCAAAACCCACACCCGAACACTTTTGTCGTCAGAGCAAGTGACAATGAGACGTGTACCAGGGATGAAAGCTACGCCGTTCACCCAGTCTTCATGACCCTTGAGCGTCATTTCGACCTGAGGTGGTTCCTTTCCAGTTGACGATGTAGCCGCCATTGAATCTTATTCAGCGATTCGGTCAGCAAGAACATTGAAGAGGTGGCAGTCACTTATATGCGCTATGGTGATTGGTTCCTAAGTTGCATCTTCTACAGGATACTTACTATCGCTGAATCCAGCTGTCGGCGTTGCTTCAGACACGTGGTGTCTCGCATACAGGTTGCACGTTCAGCGCTTCTTTCAGTAGCTTTCAGTAATAGGCGCCGTAGGCCGTGCCACGCCGCTTGCTGTGGCTGAGACAATCTCTCTGTCATATCAGTCGACCAGAGATATCTTATCGCATTGATCTTGTACTTGACCAAGCGAATAAATGGTTTCATTTCGGTTGTCTGCGGTACTATCATCGCCTCAGGCAGAACCAGCGTTTTGTTCCTGCAGGCTTTATTTGGTCTTTGAGAGGCTGGAAACCACCTTTTCAGTATGCTCCGTTATATCGCTTCTCTTTTACTACTACAAACTGATTCTGCCTACAGATTTTCACGTACAAGTTCGACCGCCATGCGGACCCGCAGCTCTACACGTTGGCTGGCCCATATACACGCGAGATTCTGCACATACTTAATCGATGTCCAGGTACAGCATATCTGAAGATATGGCCGCAAATATTGTGTCTTTTCTCCAAGGACCCCGAATTTTTGTCGAACAGTTCTCATAGATGCTCCGGAGACACAATGGCAGGGTAGAATGATTGTTTTAAGAGGGGAAAATGAGAGTCTTTGGCTGCAGACGTGTCCATGGAAATTTTTGTTAACTCCAGGAGTTCCCTCGTTTTCTATTCCAAAAGCAAAGCTTCCGAAGCAATGGTCTCTAAGCGGAACACTCTGTTTCAAGCCTCAAGATACTGACTGCAAGACAAGAATGGAACGAGAACTAATCGAAGTGTGGATGATCGTCGAAGAGGAGGATTTGCGCTATGCTGAGTCGTCAGTTTCCATTGTTGATTGCACTTTCGTTTCTGACCCTTTTGTTCACAGGTTGTTCAACAGCGTTAAAATATTATGGAATTACCAACGCAGAGTTGGAGTCTCTTCTTCATGTGGCCTACGTTTCATCACAGAAAGTACAACAAGCAAATTCGGAAAACGAAGAAGACAATCTGATGTATGCGGAGCGAACATATGGTATGTTCGCACTGCAGGTTGGCGACTCACGTGCAACTTGCAACTCCCCAGGTAGATTCCCCCTTGCAAAACGCAAAGGAACTTGTCGGCCCTACAGCATATAGATAGGCATGTTACACTACCATCCCGGTTGTTGAGGCATAAGGCCAGCAAGAGAAAGCACGCGTCATGCGACTTTGTCGAGAAGGTCGATTTCAACCTTACTGATAAATTGTGAGCGTTCTCCATAGTCTAGAATGGCGACCTGCTATGTTCGAACTTATCCGTACCCGCACCTCTGATTCTGACGGTGATCCCGGAAGAACCAGTACTCTGATACAACGATGTAATGAAACTACATATTGAAATGTGGAATAAACGTAGTCCAAGCTACTGTGTCGTATACGCCAAGAGGCAGCGATCGTAAGCTCATTATCATGAGTACAATTAGCATAATGCGTGCAACAATATATATCAAAGTGCTGATGAACATAAGGAGTACCGCGATCACCCCGCCCAAATACGCAAAACTGAATGTCCACATCAAATACACACAATGAAGCAAAATAAGTACCGGCGCACATGCTATGCTAATGGAAGCCGCACGCCATAACATGTGTTCTGCATGTCTATGAAATAAGTAATTCCAGCCCAGACAATGTATCCCTCCAAACACCATCCCACTGAAACATCCAATGACAAGTACTATCTTAGCATTATACTCACCGTAGCCACCTAGAGATGGGACACGGTGATAACGGGCAGCACTGGGGGAAATATCGGCCCCAAAGCCCATAAGACTGGTAAAGGGATATGTGATATAATTGAGAGGGGAAGCATCAAAGGAAGTTACATCTGATCTAAAAAGCAGGTGAGTCAGCCATCTCAGGCAATAGCAATGGTGACATACTCGTAGGTGAAGCCGATCGGTGATGCTCTTCCCTTCCAATGAACAACGTAAGGGCATCCCACATCCTTGGGCTTCTTCCACCACAAGCCATATAAAACGCAGGTCAGAGCAGCTGCAGCCAAGGTGTTGATTTCAAGCAGGGTGGTCGAAAGGTTCTGATCGTAACGGGCGACGAGCTGAATGACAAACCACAACAACTGAAGAAGGGCGATACCTTTCGATAGTGCATCACCCTTACTTCGATCTTCTATCTCGGCCTCCGAGATAAGAGGAATATCGACGGATCCGTCACGAACAAACCGCAGGAGTTCATCAGGAGCAAGAGTAGCTCGCGGCTTGCCATCAACATAGAGCATAAATCCACCCATCCATGCGAAGAACCCATGGGTCATTGTCCATTCTATGAAGGTATTGGTTGCATATTAGTCCTGCATGATCGAAGAGTCCAAGCATGTAAATGACCTTTAAACTCTGCCGCAGGTCTGGGAGGGCTTGAACTTCCACGAATGTCACTTAGTAATGTGGGCTTGCTCTCTGAAGTATCTGGATCACCGCTGTGGGTCTGGGCACGTTGTGCACGAAATTCATTATTGAAGTCGTGTGCGGCTCGACGGGCGCTGAAAAACTGCCGTGTGGCCCAGGTGGTGATGAGTTCTGGGGCGATCAACGCCATGACCATGATGAACACACGACGAGAGGTAATGGCAAATTTTGCCTCGTCCATACCCGGAATGTTGGTATGAATTGCAGTCCATGTACATGCAAATAGAGTTAAGCCACAGCTCAAGAGAATGTTCCACAAGGTTCTGGTGTTATTGCTGCATGGAGAGTCGCTGGTATCGAGTGTATGGATGATACTGGTATTGTTGAGACTCGGGAGTGAGGCGCAAACAAGCGGAATGCATACGAGGACAGCGCAAGCCTGTGGGAGAGACATTGCAATTGCGGAATTGAGGGCATACTAGTCTGTTTATCTCTTCTCTCGTTAAGGGCAGGCCAGGGTTTAAGCGCTAGCCGCAGCCTCACAGGTGCCTTTGAACCAGTTGGACTACGAATAGTGAGTGATCAATCAAGTCTGGTACGCTGGTGGTTGGTGTTGATATGACTTCATATCTTGGGAGGTCTGTATCGAAGCGGACAAACTGATGATTCATATCTCAGGTCTTGTCGAGCTCCAAGTAGACAGTCAATCAAGACTGACACGCAACACGGCATGAATGGCTGCATGCATATGCCTTGTCAAGTGAAGCGAATGACGGCTAATGACGGATGGTCCAGTGAAGAGTTGATTGATTCGCTTGAAATTTTAGCCGACACACAATTTCCGACCCACATATGGGGCACTAAATTTACACCGAGACCAACAAGTACGCACGCTTCAAAATTCACTTAAGCTTGACATATCTACTTCAACTCCATATTACCTCTACCCATTTCTCAATAAGCGGCGTCATACGTAGTGTTGATCAACAACAGAACCAATGCCAAAGCGGAAACACGACTTGGAGTTAACACTTTCTAAAGAAACTCAGTGTCTCTAGGCGCAGATTTTATCAACCTTCTCCAGGTTTCCCTGATATTCCAAGGCGCAAATGGTGAGTCATGAAACGGCAGCTGGATACGGGGCAAACTACTCCTACTCACACCGAATGAGGCGCAGGTCAAGCCTTTACAACAATCACTTGTTGTTGTGCAACTCTGAAGCGCTCCCTGACATGCACTGACAGACATGGACGCTGTCAACGCAACAATAACAGCGAGGAAGGAGAAACGCATTTTTTCGTGCGAGGTGGTATGATCTGCTGAGATTCTCGAATGATCTGTTTAGATGGGATGCGCGGTAGGAAGCTTGCTTGCTTTTATACTCTGGCGACAGTTAACGTCAGTGTTGCAGACAGATTTAGTTTCGGCCACAGAACGGTCATACCTTCCGTGGAGTGCTGCACGACGAGGGTTTAGGCAGAACATATCCCCTCCAATGACAGTGTGACACCTCAACGGGGTCCGGTGCTACGCACGCAACAACGTACACGTAAACAGCACATGAGCATGAATTATGGAGACAGAACAAAGCCTGTACGATACGCTCATTTTGGTTGTTGAGTATTTCCTGCTCCATGATGCACGGCCCTTCTCTCCGACGTGCTCGCGAGATACACAGGACGTCCCTCATGCAAAGGTCTAGCCCACAGCGCTGCGGACACAAATTTGGCAAAGGGTTCATCGGAGGTAACTTACGCAAGGGTAAGGTCAAGTGGCAAGCAATTGAATTGAACATTCCATTTAGAATTCAAATATCTACGGGCATTGTAGAATGGTTCCTCCTATTGTCGCCATGAAATGCAGTACTGGGCACATAAAAGCAGGCTGTCTTCAAGTTCCTACTACATATCAATCCCAGATCACATCCTCACAAACAATGCGTTTCTTTCCTATCCTCGCTGTCGTTGCTGCTTTGACAGCATTTGCATACGCCAGTGACGTTGAACCTGAGAGCTGTCCTTTCGCGTGCAAGCACAATAGTGACTGCCGCAACTGCAAAACGCCAAAATGCGTGAGTACTTATGAGTAGTTTGCATCCTGGATTAACTACATAACTTACTGGCGTGGTATTAGAACCTCTTTGTATGCGTCAGGAGTTGATCACTGTGTTTGCTTCTAAGCGGATTTTACTGCCGCTCGAAACATGGAGATCTTGGAAGAGAGGAAATATGTGGCATCTGCCATTGCCAGCAAGCAATACCTTCCTAGTATTCACATGTTCTTTCCCCGCCTTTGAATTCTCCCCTTCTCAATTATTGGTACCCTGTTGGTTTCCGTATGTTGCTGAGCCTGCTTTATTTATTTCACGTGTCGTACTTGCAGAAACCTAACAAGAGCCCCCAGTACTATAGTCTTGTAGACCCGCGGCATTCTTGTGTCTATGTCACTCGGCGGTTACTTGCGTGGAACGACTCTTCGACTTATCTATTGCGTCTTCACCTCAAGTCTGACTATTCTGAGCTGTCGCCACAGATTTTTTTAAGCACATTCTACATGTCACAGCCAAGATGAGTGATAATTTGAACTATGAGGGTGGCTGACAATCGCAGCCAAATTCAAACGAGTCAACATCAATATATGAGTTGTTCGATACTTGTGGAACGCGCTGCAGTTTAATTATTTGGTCTCTGGGATGATCGTCAGCGTGTCTTTCACAAGAAATTTGACAACACGGAGAATGTCGCTGCTTTGAAGAGGTCTTTGAGGAGCAGAAGACCCTCGGTTTTGATGATGTGGACCCTGGCTCTCTCGACCCATGGATGGTGAGTGATTGACTAAGATCTGGAACACTGAATTTAGCCGATGATTAAGTCTTGTCGAGATCCCACTCGACATTTAAACGAGACTGACACAAAAAACGGCATGGACAACTGCATGCCTTGTCAAGTGAGCGATAAATAGACAGTGAGAGGATAGACACTTTATTTGACTGAACTGCACGTCTTTTAGCTTTCACGCATTGATTTATGACCGACACATGGGGCTCTATTGACACCGAGACCAACAGGTATGCAATAGTACGCGAACTCAATATTGGCTCTGTCTATTTTTTAAACAGCAGCGTGTCAATGCGACAATAACGGCGAGGAAGGAGAAACGCATTGCTTGTATGGTCTGCTGAGGTGCTCGAGTAATCTGTTTGAAATGGGGTGGACGGTAGGAAGATGTCTTGTTTTTATACTGTCGCAAATGTTGACACTCAGCGTTGCAGACAGTGGCAGAATGAATATGCCTGGCGGAGGATACTGCACGACGAGAGTTTAGGCAGAACATATCCTCTCCGGTCATTTGTGAAAAAGAAACAGAAGCACGTACCTAGGCCTGCTTCGCCCATTCACCTGTGGAGCAGGAAAAACAGACATGCACACCTGCTGCCGAGGTGATATCTTGTTTGATGCTGCCTCGAAGACCACTTCCTCTTCTATTCAGCACTTCGAGCTTAAGTGTTTACCTTCTGTTCCCTTAGCCATGGGAACGGTTTGAGGGATGTTGGTAACTTGGTAAGTTGCGACTGCTGGAGCGCGGACGATCTGGAGTGGTATGAAACGCCGCGCTTCTCTTTTAAACCATCGCCACGGCTCCAAGGGCAAACACATGCGCTGAGTGAAAGAGAATAACCATAGATACGGAAGTAGTCGTTAAGTGGCGGGACCTTCGACACGACGGCGAGCTTGTTCCTTCGCGTTTGATCTATTGTTTGTAATTTTAGCGCACACCCCAGTCTCCAGTGGTCATACCCGTAGGATAAGCTGGCAGATGGAGATGTAGTTGCTTGCTAACGAACAACAAGGGACATCCTACGTTTCTTCCAGCACAAGCCATAAGTGCTTGATTGCATGAGATCGGACTTATGATCCATGAAAATGAGAACTTCCTCGTGTTCTTGAAACAACATAGCATTATGTAGTATCACGAACACAAGGAGCTCAGCAGTGAAAAGAGTAGTCGTTGAGGAAGTGGGTGAAACCGTGGACGTGAAAGAAAACGGTACGCCACCGGCAATTCCCGATTTTCTTTTGGTTCTCTTCTCCCGTCGCTGGTTCCATGCTGTCGACGCCCTGGATTGACTTCCAACCTGCTTTTGCCCATGTTCATTCTGGATCGACGCGTCTCTGAATGACCTTATAGGGTTCATGCTGCATACGGTTCACCATATCGATATCTACCTGATTTACACCTGGAATTTCTATTTGGCTTGTTTGTGCTTCTGGTCACTGGTGCTTCTCTGATTGTCGAATAGAACGCATGCTGTGGGGTTCGTTCTCTAGTCTGTCCTGAATATTTAATATGTCCTCGCACGAATTCGAATACGTCGGACAGGGCGTATGTATCGATTTTAGTTATTCAGACAACGTGAGCTCGGGTCCTGTTTGACGTGCGGCGAAGTATCGCGTGCATGTATTTTCCTTTCGCTTCGTTGCGCTCTCTGCTTTGCACTCTCTAAGAGAACTAGTTCTCCTTGTGTCTGTGCTACTTGCACCATCGCCGACCCTGGCTTGATCCGCCGATGACACCAAACCCAACATTCGCAACCCTCCGGGCGCTGCATGCCATCATGGGCGACGCTCTCGACGATATACATCGCATTTTTTCAAATTCTTTCACTCCCCATTCCTCCCAATGTTCATCACCCGCCTTTCCAGATTCTCCAGAGCCGGTGTCGGTGCCCGCTACGCCCATGTCTTCTACCTTTAGCACCCATACGTCCTCCTATGGGACACCACTCTCACCGGTATCTAACCTTCAGCACGACTACCCTTCACCATCTCTTCCATATGTTGCGTCATCACAAGCCGAGCAACTCGCTGCTTGCCCAGCGGCAACCGCTGCAGCCACACGAATCATAGCTGCTGCTGGCCAGATTGCCAGCATAGTACAGAAACCATTTCTGTTCATGTCCGACGCGAGCATGGTGGTGAGTTTTGCGCTCATTTCAATTTATTTCTTGCGTCGTGTACCACCTAGATTCTGATATTTTTTTCACCTTCAGTACACCCTTCCAGCATGCTTGCGTCTCATTGAACATCTACACATCGTCGAAATTCTGCGAGATGCAGAGGACGACCGCCAACGGCTTCTTTCCGAACTCCGTATTATCGCGGAGCTACAGTCCCAGAGCGAGCCCGTTATTGGCGACCAAAGTGCTTTGGGTAACGGATCAAAGGACTCCGTCAAGGGCCTTGCGTCACACCCAAGTTTCACTCGGGGTGCGTACCTCATTTTCCTCCCTTGATCGCGGGGTGTACTGATCGCCGTCTGTCATTCAATTTCAATTTCTTTCCTTCCCGCTTCCTGCTATCTCCATTTATGCGTCCTCGTCTCATCTTCCCCGGTGTTTTCACATCTCCCTTCCATTCCTGCTCCTGCCATGCCTGTCATTCTACAAAATTGACCAGATGCTCCGACGAAGGCGGAGGAAAAGGCACTCCAACTAGAGGGCGTGCATGTCAAGGACATCTCACGCATCATCACAGAACGCACCGGCGGCATTCGCTGCGTAGATTCTGTGCGCTTAGGTGGGTCTCTTCTCCGTTCTATCTATCTTTAGTTACATCTCGTTATTCGTTCTGAGCTTGTTCCTGGTCGTCACTTGTAAATTCACGCCGTTCTCTTATTTTCTTCCCGGTGAGGGGATCGGCTAACTCCTCGCCCTTAGCCCACCCCCTACGCCTGCTTTCGACTCATCACATTCTGCGTGAAACAGCTCCAGACACCTTCGCATTAACGCGCGTTGCGAGCCTGCTTGACAGCGGCAAGAGCGTGGCAGATGTCTTTGCACAGTACGTCGTCGCCTTCTCTTCTCCTCCCTCACTTACATCCGTTGATAGTCCCGAGAAAAAATATGAAGACACGTCTGGCATCGCCGCTTTCGTCGGAATGTGGTGCGTTTTCATTTGCGTTTCTGGACGTGTTGATTTCTAAAGTAAAGATGCCCAGTACTGATGAACTGTTCAAGTCAGCTGCGTACCTTACGGAGGCGTTTACAGGTGTTCAACTTCCTTCAGCTCCTCCTGGGAGCGCTCCTTCAATGCCCATAGATGGCAATGACGCGCATATATCCGCTCTCAGAACACAACATACAGGAGATGATGCGCATATATCCGGCTTTCCGGCTAGTAGGGCGCATATATCCAGCCCTTTAGCGCAACTTCATCATACACGCTCCCAATCGTTCACCAGTCTTCATTCGGACCATCCATCCAATACTACTTCGTCTACGCAGACGCATCCCTATCTCCCCGAACACGCGACGGTCCCGCATGCGCTCAGTCCAGTGGCAGAACAAAGCACGTCCCATTGTCTATGGGATGCCACCATGCCTGCACCTATCCCTGGACCACCTTTGAACCTCGGCTCTGGTTTACTCTCTCCTAAACGCGGCACAACGCCCCATACAGAAACCTCGTCTATAATCGCATCACTTACACTCCCCCCGCCGGTCCCGCATCCTTCACCGCTGCACAACGCCACAAATAGCAAAAGCGACGTTCCAAACACACCCTCTGCGCTTCTCAGCAAATGTGCGTCGCTTGTGTCGACGCTTACGCTTGCGTCTACAAATTCGGGTGTTGTATCCCAGGGGAGGCCGCCTAGTAGTGACGTAGGCTTGAGTAGCGAGACGGATAGAAGGAGCGCCGGGTCGGGACCTGATCCTGAACCCCTTCCAGCATTCAACCTCGCGTTCAACACGCCTGTGCCTTTCTTCGAATGGTTAGAGGACGGGGGATTGGATGCACTTGGTGGGAACGGCGTTGTGGCAAGCTGTGTCCCGGCAGGAACAGTTAGGAATCATGTGCCAGCTGAGGATGAGGGTGCACATAATCGAGTCGGACATGTGAGGAATATCAGCACCTCTGCACAGAGCGGCCGTGAGTTGCACAAGTCTTTCCGCCTTGAGCGGTTCTCGCAGGCGATGATTGGGACGAGTGGGTGGGAGGCGTCCGGAGCTATTCTGACTGGTACGACACTATTCCTGCTGTCTATGCGTCTGTGTAGTTGCGTCTTTTCTGACACTTTTGACTACAGGCTTCGACTGGCTTTCCCTCCCACGAGGCTCGACGATAGTAGACGTTGGAGGAGGCATTGGGAGCACGACGATGATCCTTGCACGGGCGTTTGGAGGCAGCTCTGGACGTCGGGGGAGCGTGAGCAGCGACGAAGCTGAAGATACCATAGAAAACAACAGCTTCACACCACAGCGGTCTTCCAACGATTTGGTCCCGCGTAAATCTCGGAGCGACCTCAAGTCCTTTGCCTCACGAGGGGATCTCAAATCACATACCTCCCGCGCCGATCTCAAGCCCGCCAATCTCAAACCTGCACGTTCTCATGCCGATTTGAAGCCGCAGTCCTCTCAAGGCGAGCTCGATGCGCGACAGTCGCTTGTCGCTTGTGAGGACCAGGACATGCAGTTCCGCTTCATTATCCAGGACCGTCCAGTGGTCGTTGGACTCGGACTTGACGCATGGCGTGCGCAGTGCCCAGAGATGCTGGAGAGCGGACAGGTCGTATTTTATGGTAAGCATTCCACCCAGTTACTTTAGCGTGTTTTGCTCACGATGCATCCGACAGACCACGATTTTTTCCTCCCGCAACCTCCGCTTTCCTCATCAGACCTCAATCGGCATCCCGCGGTCTACCTACTCCGCGTTGTCCTGCATGACTGGCCTGACGCTCGTGCACGTCACGTGCTGCTCAACTTACGGCTTGGGAGCAGTCCAGAGACGAGGCTTATTATCGCGGATCACGTCCTCCCGTTAGCATGCGTTGATGAGGGTGTCCGTAGCGCAAAGCACGAACATCAGAAATCCGAAGGAGAAAAGTGGACGCTCGACTCTGTTCTAGCGCACCTCGAGGGTGCACATGGCACTCTGGCACCTGTACCCCTGCTTCCGAACTTGGGCAAAGCAAGTGCAACGCCTTTTTCTATGGACATTGTGGTACGCGCAATATTTTATTGTTGTTCGCGTAAGGGAAATACTGACTGGGCGGCGTAGATGCACATTATTTTCAATGGCAAGGAACGCACGCTCCGCGAGTTTTGCGCGCTGACTCTGTCCTCTGGCTGGCGCGTAGCACGCGTGACATACTCAAAAGGCTCTCATTTCGGGCATCTCGTCTGTGAACCTGTAGACATACCTGAAGATGCGTTCGCCATCCTCCCTGGACGGCCAATTTCGGATCCTGCGATAGATTTGTCGTTTGAATGTGCTGAGCCCTCGGAGGACGACGAACATGAGGGACCGCAGACTGCCCAGGAGATGTATGCAAACAAGTTGCCGTCGTCGTTGGGTTCGAGGCCTATCTCGACGGTCTTACCACTTTTGCCTTCCCCTATCCTTGAGCGCTCGTCATCACGTTGCGGAACGCCAACGTTTGGATCTCGTGTGTTCCTTCCACGTCCAGACGAGATACCGTCTGGCAAGTCCAAGTCTTACAGCCTTGGTAGACGATGGCTCAAGGCGAGAGGCCTTGGAGTGCGTAGCGTTGTCGAGAAGCAAAAGCGCCGTGAAGAAGGCGCTCGAAAAGCCGACGAACACGATGACCAAAGTGGTCAATGTGTATCCCCACAGCATTCGCGCGTCTGGTGGAAACGAGCTCCACCCGCTTCCCCTGTAGCAGAAGAGGGATCTAGTGATAGTTCGATTCCTCGCAGCCCACTTCGTCTTCGCAGGGGTACGATAACAACTCCGGAATTTTCACCACCGCTGCCGTTGCAGAGCCCTCGTATTCCGACACAGCATAGCTTCCCAGCGCATCGTACGACGCCTAGCGTGCAGTCCAACTTCCAAAGTGATGGAAGTTCGAGTGCCCCGCGATCAAGGAGGCCGAGTGTAGCGAGTCTCACTCGCAAACTCAACTTCTCCCCTTTTGCGCGGAGACCGAGCCTGGTGGACGGTGCAACACAGAGGGGTAGTGACGCGAGCGCGAGCCCGCTGTCAGCGTCGTTCGATCCCGCATATGTCCAGCCTACAGACCAGGAGAAGAAGCTGAGGCATCAGCCAAGTTCACCGATGATGCAGAAATATCATCCTGACGGCGATCGCGAACACAGCGTCAGACACCATCCTAGTGCACCTCACTTGAAGGGCCGGTCTACCCGCGCTGAAGAGCCTCCGCCCTTGCCTACGACACCAAAAGTTGTACGGGACGATGGATCCTCTAGCGCTCCTCGCAAGTCAGGTCTCCTGAGCTCCCCGATGTTTAGTGCGAGCAGGTCTAGTCTATCCACGACGAACTCGCGTCAACCTAGCCATTCGATTTTATCAGGTGCTCCTGCTTTGATACGCGCACCCAGCACACCTGCAGAGCCCACGAGCCCAAAACCAAAACGTCAGCCAAGTACACCGAAACTTCCTCGGAGAATCAGTATACCTATACTCCGCCGCAAGCGCGGTCAAAGTTTGAGTGCTGAGAGGGATACTTAGGCTGGTAGAGGAGGAGTGCTGAAGAGATGGACGCTTGATACTTACTGGACTCTCGTTCATAGTTTTTTTTCTTGTTATCATCGTCGAATGCTGTGCGTCTACCGCTCTTTTCATGCATTTATGTAGACGCGTCCGTCCTCGTGGCGTCGCAAGACTTGATGATTTTCATGTCGTGCTTGTGCTGTTTTATACTTCCCGTGGACTAAATCATTATAATGACGATCCTAGCACGCGCTGTGGCACCCACGATCGAGGTAGATCGTGCCAAACGGCTCCGTCCTCCATTACGATAAGCAAGGTAATAAGCGTAGAAATTGCATAATGAAATGTGGTAATGGAAAACATATGCTTGCTTGAGAAAAAGGCAAAAACTCTATCATAGAGGCTACTCTACATATTGAAAGTTCCTCGTCTTTTGAGCCTTGTAAAGTTGATGGAAAGTGCATAGACGTGTAAATGCAAGTGAAAAAGTGAATTCTGTCAGTACTATTACTTGCAGGCGTAATCGAACGTTGTTCCACAACGACAAACCATATGATTACAGCCAGCGACCTTCTCTATCAAATGGGCGCATCCTGGGCATCTTGCCCAACCTGATGCTTGAGCAATATCAAGAACTTGTTGGGTTGCTGCGTCAATGACGCAGTTGTGATTCCCAACCCCCTCGTACTTGGTACGGCATTTTCCACACGTACGGGTGGAACAACTTGGGGCTGGGCAATCGTACACTTTTCGTGACGACTTTTGGTGAAGTGCACCAAGAAAGCGATTGCAGGATGGCGACGAGCAATATACCCGGTGCATCGTTTTCTTTTCTCGGCCCTTGAGCCTGAAGTCTGCAATCAATGCTTGACTGACGTAGCGTCGGACTTTTGTGAAGGGAATGTTTCTGTGACAGCATCGGGGTGGATACAGGGAGTCGTCGCGGACCGAGGACTGGAAGAGGTGGGTGATGCAAGCAAGGTCGAAGACGTGCCCGCACGGGACTGGAATTGCAGCTCCATCTATGGGATCTCTGCATATGATACAAATTGGTCTAATAACTGTCAGTTATATAGTCTATCCTCGTTCGTCTCAGGTTGACTCACGGTTCCTTCGAGGCAGCATCGACCTTCTTGATCGACTGTCGTGGCATGTTATTTCAAGCACTAGAAGCAACTTGATGAGTTCCCAAAGAATGTTTAGTAGCCAGAGGAGACTCTGTCCCCCCTTTGAATATGCAGCTGAAATGGATCGACAAAGCTGTAGGAGAAAGAGAAACCAGAAGGTATGCTCAGCATTTATGCCTCGTTGCCTCCGCATGCACTCGATCACCCCTAAATGATCGCGAATAACGAAACAAAGATAAGGATCAGGATCTAAAGCGCTCGATATCAGGAGTGCGAAAACACGTTCTGAAGCATTGTCGAAAACAGGAGTACAAGTGGCTGTGCTGGGGATGCTGTGCATAATAGGCAACTCTAGAGTTATGTAAGCACGGGTCTTGTGGTTTGGCCACGACCTCCATCCACCTTCTTGATCGAGCGTTGGCCCTCGGAACACATAGCACGGCAATCACTCCCGTCACACGCATCATGAGGATGAGGAAAATAATGCCAAAGGGATAATAAATCTCACCGTTCACCCTACCAGCCCAATCTTATCCCCATGAACATAGCCCTCCTCCAGTGGCTAACGGTCGAAGACAGACATCTTGCTGAATGGTAGATACAAGCCGGTTCATTGCACGAAGGGTTCATCCTCGATATTAATGCCAAGGGCTTCCGTAACTACCATGTTCCAGCCGCCGGGTAAATATTTGCATGCCATATCTTCGAGTGCGTCTCCCTTACGGGCGCAGAAGCTGCCATGCCTCGGGCGAGTACCACAGTCCAATTAAAGAACTTGATGATACTTTTCTTTTCCTTTGAGTCGCGCCGTTAACGAATTTCCCGTAGAACATCAGGACATGCCCAAGGCGCTGAAGTCTTATTATAACTTCTGAGCGCCTGTCGAAATGGTATACTCCCGTGGTTACGATCATTTTGGAGTGGAATTGGGGTAGAGTACGTATCTTTGAGCCTTTCAGTGGCAATTTGGGAGCTCCGAAAGGACGAGCTGTCGCTTACATAGAGAGGTCTCAAACAGCACAATTTAGGTCAGGACATGGGACTGGACCTTGCCAATGAAAACGGAGTTACCGATGATTACGATATGGAGTTTCAGGGAACGACGGATCGAAGCTGCGTAATCTCATTGTCGACGATCTTGCGGTAATGGCCCATTGTCTAGGAACGGATCAGCACCGCAGTCTCCAATCTCAGGAGTCCCTCCCCTACTGCTATTACCGACACGATCTTTCCGATCATCGTATAATCGGGATGCCCTAAGTATACCACGGAAGTCGAGTTCATCTCTGAATAGATGCATCCAGTCACATTCACGCACTACGGGATTTGACCCTTACAGTCAGGCACTTCGGGACCGGAATTCGGAAGGCCTTCGCGTTTACCCCAACTGGCTTATTCCTCGATGCCCTATTAGCTCATCATAACCGTTAGACATTACCTCTCTCTGAGCCACTCATTGTAAATAGTATGAATACCGGTATGCTGGTACTTTGTCATACATATCTAGGTTTCTAAAGTGAATCTCGAAGACTTCTTTCAAGGTTTGGCTACTACTACTAGAGACTACTTGAGATCGGGTGTGCACGTACCGCTAAAAATGAGACCAGGTTTGATTTTGTTCCACTCACTGTAAAGATGCCTCCCAGAAACCCAACAGTGGTCGAACAACTTACATAAAGATGTTGATGTGCGTTTAATTTGGCTGCGATTGTCAGTTACCATTCACAATTCAAATTATCACTTATCTGACCTGTAGTATGTACGAACCGCCATTGTAGGAGCCCGCCGGCCCAACCAAATGAAGGTGCCATATGTTTAAAGCATGGCATGAGCGACTCAATAGTGGGCACTCCTTCGAACGAGGCCGCGGCGCTTCTTGACGAATGATTTGTCATGGTTGTCCTCGAATCTAAAAATCAGGTAGCAAAAGGAGGCGATCCAGAGGAGAGTAAATACCATCTAGGGCCGACCGCAGTATTTCAATTTGTGTCGCAAACACCCCCGAACTTGGGTGGAGAGGTAAACGTGGCAACGTCGCCCTAGAGTCATGGACGCATTAACATTGCCCAGAACCATTTGTTGGCCCAGATTCGCCGATGCAGTTTCTGGACAGTCGAAAGTAAATAAGTTGAGACATGTCAGAACATACCACTCTGAAAATCCATCCGAATAGACACTACCACTTCCAAGAGCTGCACGCCATTTCTCAAACTCCAATTCTTGCTCCATCATGATCTCTTGCTAAGCTCGAAAGGCCTGCTAATTTGAGACAAAGAAGGTGAGATGGTTATGCGTTTAAGGTGCGATCCCTAGAAGATGATTGCATAGATAATCTCACACACGTATTCATCTCGTCGGGATCGCACCTTGATCATGAGCTACCTTGAGTGAGGCTACCTCGGAGAGAAGATTGTATGAGCGATTATATAAGAAGAAGAAGAACTTTTTAACTTATCGCTGAGTCAGCTCTGGACTGCTCTGGACGGTGACCAGTGAACTGCCAGTGCTAAGTCGCCCTTGGCTCTAGCCTCCAGACCTACTATCGAAGGAAGATGGTCGTTCTCCCCATGTGGCTACGATTGGATGCAGAATACACATCGATCTTGAAGCAAACCACCATACTCGGTAGCGATGATCGATGATTCTTCGTGTCACGGCGTGTGGCGGATGGATTCTGGAAATTGGAGTAAGTACATATCCTCTGTCCTAGTGTCATACGCACTTTTGTTGCCCGGAATCCGGATCATTCATCGTCACAGCTCACTTCGTACTTCAAAAGGCGACATAATGACGGGGCTGTAATGCAGAGTTCACATTCGCTTCAGAAAATGCACTCTGTCTCATATATGATATCGATCTCGATATCACCTGATCCGCACAATCAGCGGAATCATGTCTTGTGCGGTATGCCGGTGATCGCTCTTGAATCTATCAATGTCCTCGAATCCAATTGCGCTCCATGCGGCTAAGGTTGACGTGGATCCCCGCTCTCGTAATGTTTATAATACCACGTGAGTCAGGCTGTGTCATTTCATCACCCTGGTCAACGATGTTTATCATTGCGCGATCTATGGGATTGAAACTGTCTATGAAAATCAATCTATTGGCCGTATCGCAGCTTCTGCTTGCACTTGAAGCATTATCCGCTCCGACAAACACCGGATCTGGATCCATCGTCAACTTGGGTTATGCCCAGTACCAGGGATCAGTTGACACAGCAACAAACACTACCAGCTTCCTTGGAATACGGTACACGGCTCCTCCAGTCGGTGCGTCCAGTCTTGTATATTGTACATAATCTCAGCTCACGCACCAATCACATAGGCGACTTGAGATGGGCAGCCCCGCAGCCTCCACCAACCGTCTCTGGGGTTCAACAAGCTACTGCGGAACCGAATATGTGTTATCAAGCATCCGTAGGCAACTCTTCGACGAATCCTCTTGAAAGCGCCTCTATGAGGAAAAGGGCTGTCAGTATGTCTGAAGACTGTTTATTCTTAAAGTAAGCCCTCCCATGGAACGATGAACACGTCATTTACAATTGGTGGTTATCCGGTAGTATATACACTCCTGGGAGTGAAGTGGTGGCCACTTCGTCAGGAGGGCTCCCAGTTGTCGTTTTCATTCATGGAGGAGGGTAAGTGGCATGTACAATGGTCCTCTGTCGATGAAACGATTTTGGTTCAGGTATATTGGAGGATCTGCAAGCGTATATACTGGGGCAGATCTAATTGTGGAATCGAATCACGGTGTCATCGCTGTCTTAGTCCAGTACCGCCTTGGTTTATTTGGTGCGTTCTTACTGCTTCCTTTGGTTTTCAAAATGTATACTAAATTGTATAAACTGCCAATTAGGTTTCCTTCCTGGAGAAGCGGTCAAAGAAGGGGGTGCACTCAATGCCGGACTGCGTACGTGATTATCATGGTCTGATTGTCCTCCAGACTCCGCTGAACTTCATGTTCCGAGTCGACCAGAATTACGCGTTACAGTGGGTACAGGCCTACGTGAGCAGAAATCTTTACTTGTCTGTTATACCTCAGCTGATGGGAAACTTACCCGTATAGATAAGTAGCTTCGGTGGCGACCCCACGAAGGTTACGATCTGGGGATTGTCTGCTGGTGAGCTGCGCTAGGCACTCTTCATCATCATGATTTTTGTTTACCATTCGTTGTTTCAGGTGCCGGCTCCGTGCTACAGCATCTTGTTGCTCATGGAGGAAATACGCAGCCTCCACTCTTCCGTACTGCCATGACGAGTTCCACATTCTTGCCATCCCAGTACAACTATAATGACCGAATTCCGGAGGTGATTTTTGTTCATGAGGTCGATGTCTGCAGAGTCCTGAACGCCATTACTAGATGCTGTACAATGAGGTCGTTGATGGAGCAAAGCAAGTACTTTCAAAGGTTCCATATGGCCATTCCCGATCTGATCCCTCAACTCACAGCTGTACTTCAAGTTTGGATACCCTCTCTTGTTTGCGCACTGCAGACGTCAATACGCTGGAAACGTTGAATTATAACATCAACATCAACGGCTTCTTTGGCTCGTTCGTATTCGTCCCTGTTGTTGATGGCACATTCATCTTGGAGAGGCCTACCGTGACAATCAGCAAGGGTCGTTTGAATGGTGTATGATCTCTGAATGCATTTATCTCACAGCGAAACTCAGGCCCTTCCCTATTAGAACCATCTCCTTGCCATGACCAATTCGCACGAGGGGAACATATTCGTGGATCAATCGACGACATTAGATGTCGCAGATTATGTCAAAATGCTTTTCCCGAACTTTGGTTCTGCCCAGGCTGCTGGAGCAGTGACGATGTACCAGGACCAGGGAAGTAACGTTAATCAGGCAAACCTTGTGATGGGTGAATGTACGTGTCTTTCAAGGAATCTATCACTTGCCCTGATTTCATGAGTCGATTCAGCCATATTCGTTTGCCCTACTTATGATCTCCTCAAAGTGTTTGGACAGCGGGCTTGGAAGGTAAGCTCGAGGCAAGGCGCAATTTATATATACTCAAGCAAAAGCAGGGCGAGTTTGCAATCCCACCTGGCCTGCACGCAACTGATGTTTCATACTATTTCACTTCGTATGGGTAAGTCGAAGTGATGGGTCAAAACTCCTACTCTAATTGTATACTGTTTCAGGGGTGGCCCTGCATACAACAATTCCCAGTTCATCACTGCTTTCTCGAATTCATTCATGGCTATGGTCATGTCCAACACTCCCGACGATAGATACTCTCCAGGGGATATCACACCTTCCTGGAAATCTTGGCCACATGGTTCCACAGAGATGATGTTCAATGAGACATCCGTAGGAGTGCCCGACGTGTATACTTTCAAGACCGATAAAGCCTTGCTCGAGCGTTGCGCGTGAGTAATGTACCATATCTGTGATAAGCTAAGATACTGAGTTAAAGACATGTAGCTACTGGCGGAGCGTGTCGGCGTATTCGGTGCAGTGAATGGAAATTGAGCTCTGTTATGTTCCTCCTTCACGACAATCTAAGATACAACTGAGTGAGACCTAGTTTATTTAATGCTACAAAACCTCGTTCATGTGCACTAATACTGCTTTCATCCGCAAGGCTCACCCAGCCTTCTCAGTTTTCCAATAGCTAAAATACATTATTCTCAGTGTAACCACCAGCGTGCAGACCCATTCATAGGATGATGTCCAATTCCGTGGTCCGCTGCCACTAAAAAGTCGTCTTCTACTCGCACTATAGTCTTCGATTGGAGAAAGAGTTCTTTGACGGCTCATTAAGCGAAGAATAAGTACTGCGAATATGAGATATCATTTAGAGTTAAAGTCGAGAACTATAGATGAGTCTCGCCCGCCTTCAGGGATCTACCATTCCCCGCCTCTATCATTGTGCTACCAGCTGCGTTCTTTCTTGCCGCGATGACAGCTGCTCTACATCTCCTGGCTTGGTTCTCATGAAGTACATCCCCAACAAGACCCTTACATTAGCCACCACCCACCACCATTTAGTCCCTAATTCAGCATCCCACGAGCTTGTTAAAGCCTACACTCGCGTCTTTCGGCATCATCCTGACGCATGACTTTGTTGGATATGATCGAGATTCGCCCCGGTATGGCTGAACACGCCTCTGACAGAGGGATCCCTCAGTCATGTAACTTGTAGTTGTCCAGGGCAAAACAGGGCAAAAGAAGGTACTGTAGAATTGGGGAAGGGACTACACTGGCGGCGGGTATGGTTGCGTACGAACGCGAGAAAGGCGGTGAATGACGTAACCAGTCTCTAGGCGTGCCTGCAACAATTCTTACAGGGAAGAAGGGAAACAATAGCACGATCCTGGCCAGCGAACCCTCCTCCTCCATGGGAGTCAGGTACTCAAGTACTCACCCCACGGAAGGCGAAGATTCGAAACACGTCTGCAGCTAGTAGAGTTAGACTTTGTTAGTTATGTCGATTTAGTGGTCAGTGAAGTTTACTCAATGGTCAATTCAGTCGTTTTAGAGTTAGGACTTGGCATATATTCTGTCTCTTGATTTCTTTGGGGGGTTGGGTAGTTAGTTTGTCCGCGGATGTCCGGCGGTGAATGATTTGAAACCCCACTCTTCACGAGCAGTTGAATATCGGACCTTCTGAACCTCCGCGCACGCACAGCTAAAATGAGATGGGTGTCATTTTGTTACACTCACGGCTAGGGGATGCCAAAGAGAAGCGCGGCATTACATACCACTTCAAATTGTTCACCAAGAGACTGCAGAGCTGTCGGGTTCAACCAACATGCCTAAAAACTACCCCCGTGGCTAAGGGATACGGGGTAAGCACTCCAGCTCGAAGTGCTGAATAGCAAAGGGAGCGGCTTCTGGGGCAGCATCTGATAAGTACCTTGACAGCAGGTGCACACTTCAGACCAGGCGACACTAGCTCAACACATTGCGAACTGACCGGAGGGGATAGATTCTGCCTAATTCTCGTCATCCAGTTTCATCGGCCAGGCAAAATCATTCTACCAGACCAAACACTGTTTAGTGTCTACAACGCTGAACGTTAACTTGTGCAATAGTATAAAAGCAAGTCATCTTCCTACCGTCCACCCTAACTCAAAGACATTACTCGAACACCTCAACAGATCATACCACCCCGCACAAACGATGCATTTCTCCTTCCTCACCGTTATTGTTGCGTTGACAGCATCTATAATGTCTGTCAGTGCATGTAGCGCCGATCTCGAAGGTTGCACCACGGCTAGGAACTGCTGTGATAAAAACAGTCACTGCGTTCAAATTGTGAGCAGTAGTTTGCTTTGCATCCAGTTTTCGCCTGATGACTCATTGACATCCTCTGCGCTTTGTAACATCAGACGGATGGTAGCATCTGTTATAATTACCACACGAGAGAAGAACAATTTGCACGTAGCGACTGAACAATTACCTCTGCAAAATTATATCTTATAAAATAGGCACTGGTGAGTCGTGTTGTCGCTTTCGCATTGGTGCTGTTGTTGATCGAACAATATGCAGGCCGCCGCTGATTGAGAAATGATGGGGGCAATATTGAGTTGAAGTATCATGATATTTAAGTGAATGAAACGTTTGCGTACCTTTTAGTTTGGGGGCAAACAGAGCCAGACAGAGCCCCATGAGATGGGTCGACCATAAATAAACTGTGGCAGCTAAAAAAAAAACGCGCAGTTGAATCAGATCAACTGTCCATTTTTTCACCGTTCATATCGTTTTCTGTATCAATCTCGCTTAACCGTCAAGTTGGAGCTCGACAAGGCGTGGGATATGAATCAAGCTTATCCGGCTCGATACAGAGCTTCCAAAATATGAGATCATATCAGCGCCAACTATCAACGTGCCAGATCTTGATTGATTACTCACCATCCATAGGTCGAGAGTCTCGGGGTCGATATCATCGAATCAAGGGGTCGTCTTATCCTTGATAACCCTTTGCAGCAACATTCTTCGTGCTGTCAATTTTGATTTGAAACTCACGCTGACGGTCATTCCCAGTGTGACTTACGTAATGGTATTGATCGATTTGGCCAACGGTTGAACGACCCCGTACGGCTCACAGCTACGATGATTCAAGCTTCAAGGAGTATCTTACCCACGAGCTGATCATAGGAACTGTACAGTTCGAACTTCGAACTGCAGAGAGGCTGCCAGCCCAACTGAAGATGGCGATTTGGGGGGAAATGGCCCGAGAGTTTTATTGATCAGTGGTTCTTGGGTCTAGAAGTCATGCAGCATAAGGAGATGATCCCGGGGAAAGAAATGGGCAAACTACCAGTTAGGATCGCTAAGATATCAGCCTGATAATCTCGAGCCCAACGTTCTGGGAAGCGGGATTGAAAACAACACCGCTGGCGCATCCCAGAAGAATCCGAAGGAGGTCCTAGAAGTTCCGCAGAGTTTCGTCTTCTTCGAGACCACCAGCTTGAGCTCCCTCGAGTTCGACACATGAATATTCGATTATTGGCCAAATGATCGAAACTATGGAGATGGACAACATCGCGGGCCGCGCAATAAAAAGTATATGCACTTCTGAGAGCTTCTGAAGTGCGCAATTCAAGCCGACTCCGCCAGTCCTAGCGCTTATCTTCTATAAAGTGCTGCTGGAAGACGATCCATCATCCTGCCCACGTTTGCTGCATCTCCGAGTCGTCGCCATCTCGATAGCAACATCTCTGTAACCCCGTTTTCACTTGCAACATGTGCTGGCCTGTGCCTTCGAATAGAGCAGCATGTAAGAAACGTTGGGGGACCGAATGCTGGATGAGAGAGAGTCGATGAGAGTCGTGTCCATTATGTAGTGAGCCTGAGAAATTGTTGTCAAACATTCCATTGTTGCATTTTTCCACGGCACACACCTACTCACACACACCACGATGTCCATCTCCTTCGATTGATCTTCTGCCTGACTTGTATACGCGCTGCTGCGCCTTCTCCTATGACAAAACTGACAAAACTCTACCCGAAGTTCAAACGAACGATTAAATAATAATTCGAAGATCAATGCGACTCGACAACTTTCTCCTTGTGGATTTGCCTCAAAGCTCGGTTAATCCAAGCTTGCTCAGGTGATACCCTGGGTTTCGATATGCGATACTAGTCAACGCCACGACTGAACCACGCCAGCGGAGCGCTGAGAAACACGACTTGATCCGATGACTTGGTAAACGGAACTTGTAAATGCCTCAATAATAATACGTGTATGTTCCGCCTGCAGCATGTGGCATGTAAGTATTTTTTCAGCTTTGATTTGATTGATGAGGCGGAAGCGAGGACCACGCAGAAGGGGCAAACACTATAATGAAATGGACACACAATGGTAAGCACCTTATTACCTTTTATTCATTGTTCTGATTTAGTCTGCAACAAGGCTATAAAAAGACGGTCGCAATTCTTCTTATAGTCCCTCACTGGTCTAACAGAAAGCTCTATTGTCTGTGCACCACAACCACGGCAATCGCCTGTTTTGATCTATTCAACAAATACGTATTTGAACTCTCGCAGGGCGAGTTTGTTTATCGTTAACGTTCATCCTCTTCCTGCCCTTCCTCGCATCGCTTCTCTTTCCCGACACCCCTATACGTTTCGCTCATCTATGATGCTTCGAAGACTTGTCCAACTCCTCCCTGCCCTCGCCATCTCCACTCTCGTCTCAGCTCATGGCTTCGTACAACAAGTGACAATCGACGGCACCGTCTACAAGGGCAATAACTTGAACGTGGGGACCCCTGCCGCTTCTATCATTCGACTTGTCAGCACAAACAGTCCCGTCAAGGGTTCTACAAACCCGGCCACTAACTGTGGGCAAGACGCTCAGTTCGCTTCCCTGGTTGGAAACGCGAACCCTGGCTCCCAGATCGAGGTTCTATGGGTCGGCGGCACTGACGGATCATCTAATGTATGTGATTTTATGTGATGTTGTAGATTGGTGAGTAACTATGAACGTACAGTGGCCGCATAACACAGGCCCACTGATGCACTACATGGCCAAGTGCGATGGTTCATGCTCAACATACAACTCGACGAACGCCGAGTGGTTCAAGATATCTGAACTCGGTCTCGAGGCTGACGGCAGTACCTGGTACCAAGCAAACCTGGGTTAGTACTGTTCCTTGCTTTGCCTTGCTTGCACTCACGTGTTTCGCAGAATCTCGAGCTCCCGTAAACGTGACGATCCCGAGCACCCTTGCACCCGGAAATTACCTGCTTCGCTCGGAAATTATCTCTCTCCAACTTGCGATGTCGCAGGGAGGTGCTGAGTTCTACCCTGCGTGCATTCAACTCCAAATTGGTGGTGACCAGACTCAGGGCCCGACGTCGAGCGAGGAGTGCACATTCCCTGGTTGTTACTCTGATACCGATCCTGGTATCCTGACACCAAACGTGAGCTAGTTTCCTGATGTTGACTTTGGTTTGAACATATCACTGATCGTCGCCCAGATTTACAACCCACCCATTCAATACACATTCCCCGGCCCTCCTGTCGCAACCTTTGCGAGCACCGGCTCGGGCTCTACTGCCCCTGCGCCTACCTCCAGCGGCTCTGCATCGGGTTCCTCGGTAGGGACTACATCGACCTTCTCCAATGTCCCTTCTTCCACTATTACTGCCTCCCCAAGTCCAACGGCGACAGGGACATGCATGCTTAGTAGCCGTTCCACCAACGAGGATGCTGTCAAACGAAACAGCAGGAACAAGCGGATGCTCAAGCGGAGACTCATCCGTTCGCACTGAATTAAATGGCGAGGGTGGGCTTGACGTCCCCCTCCCTCATGACTATCATACAACAAGGCTTGAAGCCTCATGGCACTGCGTGCCTCATCACACGACATCAACGATTCAGTTATCCACACCACGTTCTCTTAACTCACTTTCGCTCACGTTTACTCTCATTTCAGCTCCCCTCGGAGCTAGCCACTCGCTATTGTGCACATGTTCGTTCTGATTCGTGGATACCTTGTCTATTTGTATTTTAGGTGCCCATCTGGGATGGGTCTTATCCGTGCATAGCCATGGTTTGCATATTACTATAACTGCACCGGATGTACATCATAATGATTGATGTAATACAATTGATATGATGCAATGGCTGAAACGTTGATTCCTGCTTGTCCGGTGCGGCGTGTTCGCTGTCAATGTCATAGATCAACTTCCATTTTCAACAACCCCAAACAAACTCAAAGGAGTCCAAACAAACGCTGCGAATTTCTATCTCACACTGATGACTTGGACGTGTCACATCGCCCGTATCCTTTGAATCCTTTCAACATGCAAGAGTCAAGACCCTCGTGCGTAAATTCATTACATCTCACCCCCGTTGAATGCACTCAGGCAGACCTCAACAATACCCATCGGATTTGGACCTTGCTTGTGCGCATGAGATCTGACAGGGCACACTAGTCGTCATGGGCCGCCAGTAAAGTATCACTATGCTTCCCTTGACTCTGGCTCATGTTTGCTAAATCACTAGGTGTATCGCACACTTATCGTCCTCCTCGATCAACTCAACACTAGGGGATGAGTATCGCCCCCGAAGCAACCTGCGAAGGATGAAAAACATGCTCTAGCATCTCCACGACATGCTTTGAGGCAAAGCACGACTTGGAGATGCTGTCACCTGTTTCATACCCTTCCTTCGCCGTAATCTGAGCTCTGATTCCTGCTGCACGCGTTACGAGGACGACGAATGCCCTGCCGATTGACGCACATGAGATCATCATTGGGTCTTCACCGGTCCCAAGTGTTAGGAATAGAGGAGCATATTGGCTTTCAAAACGATGTATTAGTACCAAGCGAAACGAAACGAAATCCATACCATTGAAACTTCCTATCGTGATTGGTTGAATCGATAGCCAGTCGATCAAACGTTTGGAAAGTTGCACCATTTCCCCGCAAATCCTACTATCATTCCCAGCCAGTAATGTATAAATTGAAGTACCTAATACACAAATTTGAGTCAAACGTCTGGATCTGGCTTTGGGAGTCTGTAGATCACGATGTACATAGAAGTGAATAGTCTACTGCCAACTTGGTTCGGTTGAAGCTTAACATGGCTGATTACGCGTTTTCTTATTTTGAGAAGTGACTGGTGATCTGTACTAGTCTGACGACGTAGTGAGCTCCACATGCTAACTGTGAACGAGAGCATTGTTGTATCCGATTTTTCGTGGTGCTACAAGGACTGATTGATTGCTTCTAGATCTGCTTGTGTGATTTCTGCCGCTTCTGCCGCCCTTGACGTTATCTCAATGACTTCGAGCTTGAATCTGTGCCGATATTTACCACACTAGATAGTAATCAGTATGTCTCACGTATTCGAAAAATGGGAGAACCTACGATGTAAATTCTGTCTTGTTCAATCCAGATTCTGCAAATCGGGACACCGCCGAATGTTTTGTTCAACACAACCTTGACGTAAGGCAAGTTTGTCGTGAAGGTCGCCTCTTCACCTGACTTGGGCTTGCTGATTTCTAACGTAGATGGTCCTTTCACTACTCGTCCCAGACCCTTCCGGCGCTCAACAGCTAATGGGCTGAAGTCCATCACCTGTAATTCATGCTCCGCGCCATACACGTTTGCAGAGGATGCTAGCAAAACTCGATTTCCGCTAACGCCAACACAGCTGCTGTTCATTCGGAACGCGCGAGAATTTGAAGGGCCCCATTCTTTCCACGGTATCCCCACTTTCATGTCCCCAGAGAAGCCAGTGTTGAAGAAAATCCTGGTAGAAATGATGAAGATGAAAATCGAGTCGAATGGAATCGAACGATCCAGGGATGGTGGTCGGAATATGTCAAAGCGTAATTTCAATAGTTGGTTTTTTGGGTCAGAGGTCCACATCGTTTGTTCGGTTTGCATCTGTGGCTGCGTGCTGCCATCCATCGGAAGGGCGCACTCTGTGCACCCTATGGTAAATGTTGTGATAGGCACCAAGAAGCAAGCCAGGAATTGCGGTGCTTGGGACATATTCTCGATTGAATACAGTTTCAACTTTTCGTCGAAAATAAGCAATCTATCGTTTCCGAGGAAACAAAAATCAGTTGCCCCGTCATATGCTGGGTCTGCGTCGTCAACAATGAGGACGCACTAAATTGAGCGTTAGCTGTCGATACTTTAATATTTCTGACTGAGCCTCACACTGGATGTTGTTGAGCGTTGCCAGTCCCAGATCTGCAACACCCACAGGTCTGAAGTATACTCATACCATGGTCCATCGTTTTGCGGGGAGCGCCAGCACTTGAAAGCGATATGCCTGCCTAAACCCTTGAGCTTGAGGTGGTTTGAGCCCACCTCGGCGGGCTGCTCATATCCAGGCAGCTCAAACAGAGATAGTGTCTGTCCAGCAGCTCGGGGATGAATACCACTTCCATCCAGGGCTTCAATTTCAATGCAGAACATTGCGTTTCCCGACTCGAGATGATCATCAGTAATGACATACGCGATGGCAATCAGGTTTTGTGCTGGGTCCATGAACACATCGAATATGTGTGCGTTGGGATTTGAATACAGCGGCCTTGTAGACGGATCACGCTTGATTGTCTGTTGTGAGGCCTTTGGTAGTATCGGGGACACCATGACCAAGCCTTGTTTGCTGTTCCAGAGGCAGAGATGCCCATTAGCAACCCATCCTGATTGATCTCCATCGTGGAATTGTTCTGGTATGGAGATTTTTGCGCAAGGTTGAACGCCAAATTTGAGCCACGCGTGAGGTCTGTCCCTCAGAAGTTTTAGGCGCTGAGAGATGGAAGTGCGGTTGCTGGGATCTGTGTCGGGGACATGGAGCAGTTGTTGACCGCCGAGTTCAACGATGTACTGAAGCTCGGAGTACGATATGTACACCTGGCGAAGGGACCTACATACCTGCAGGATAATCGTCAGACCATAGATCCTAACACAACCGTGACAGTGACATCAAATTGATTGGTAGATGAATTATCGTGGCTCACCAATGTACAGCGAAGGATATCTCGGTAGGGCAAAAATTTCAGGATATAAAACTGTGATTCTTCGGCAAGTGACAGAAATTCTGCTCTGGACTTCATCGTGCAGGTTGGAGCAGTGTTCTGCCGGTCAGCGACCGCAGTGTTCGTTCACTGAACGCCAAGTGTGAGAAAGTCGATGACGTTGGCAATGTTCACTTGATCGTGAACGTGTCAGGTGCCATGAGTCCTTGTATATTCTTCATCAGCAAAACATCCGGATGCATGCAAGGCCGCCGACAGGCAGTACAAGGTGTGCAAGCGCAACATTTCGTACAAACCACCGCAAGACTTGTGAGGCACGATACACATCCGTACACGCAGCGAGGTTTTATGCATATCGCGTGGCAAAACACTTGCTATCTTTGTACCTTCTTGTAGACCCTTGTATGGCTTGCAGCCATTGTATGAGAGCTTAATGATTGTAAGCACTGGCATTTCGTTGACTTGCAGGCATTCCGCGTTCATTGCAATAGTAAGATCACATCAATTGAATTAGTACAGTCGGACAGAACGTGAATATTCGAATGCACGCCGGACACGAAAATTGGCGGCGGCTGGAGTCTACTACCAAAGTCAGTCGCGACTCGCTGGGGAGTCGGGACCACAATTACTTTACGTTTAACTTATTGTTGATTACATCATACACCAGTGTGCTGCGTCTGGACTCTGGACTTGTCTGGACCTGTCTAGACTCTGCACACAACACCAGTTTTCAGTCGAGCCAGAGACAACCTCAGTGAAGCATATCGATCACGAGGCTTATGCTTATTGTGTACATGTCTACCATACATTAATGTCATGCACCATAATTGCGCCGTACCAGCAGCCAACCGATGAGCCCGTTATTCGTACCCATGGCACTGCCCTTGAACATTCCTCAACGATCTTGTAACTCGCAACCTTATCATCGTGCGTTCTATGGTTGAGAATTGGCACTTCGTCCTGGACGACATTCTTATTGTGGTGCTGTGTAACTTGACCTCTTTGCTCTGCTCCGCATTCAGGAACGTGCAATCCGATGACTTTTCGCACACCCTCTCTCACTTTCATTGGCTCACCGAAATTGAGGGAGTCGATGTATGCAAGATCATTATGATGGTGATCGTAAGCAATGGTGTCAATCTCGAGTGTCGTCGTTCAAACGGCGTCCTGCACAAAATATGTGGTGTAGATGTCGGCAAACATCGCAGACGGAGCTATTGCCCGCACACAAGGATAGCGCAAGAGGACCACACGCGTCTCCTGCTCTATCCGACTCAAATGTACCTGCAGGGAAGTAAGTGACACCCGCCCATTCGCAAAGCATATATCATAACTTGGTGATCACGCTAGAAGCCCATACACATGACAGATTCCTGATGATCTTTGGGAAATAGTGGGGGAAGCAAGGCTATCAAACGTTTGGAGCAATACTGACCGTGTAAGCTTCTTTGACTTTAGGATGCGTATTAACTCTCCAGCCATGCACGAGATCGAGACCCCCTCAGCAATGTTGAGGAGAACAGTTTCACCTTCGGCCTGTCCGATAGCTACGCGAAAGAAGTGTGAAGCTTGGTCAAGGCGGAACGACGTCAGGATACCCTCAGCAATGTTGAGGAGAGTGGCTGTACCTTTTCCCATGCACCCGTGCCCTGTGCACCTTTGGCCTGTTCGATGGCTACGCGAGAGAAGTACAAAACTTTATCAATGGGGAACGACGGCCTCACCATCCCCGCGCGTTCACAGGCACTTTTCGAGTTCGAGTCGTATATTTTCGTCAAGGAATTTGCAAAGTCTCCCCGTAACGGATCCTCTCTCGGGGACATCGAGTATGGTGTTCCGACGGTTACGTACCAATGGGTGCCATTCTTACACTCTTGCTGCTAATTAGTTTATCATCAGACAAGAAAGTGCCTGGAGACTCACAGGCTACGCAGTTGTATGTCACCAAGTGTTCCTTGTGCTACCCCATATCCATGTCCACCTCCCCAGTCGACTCTATGCTAGTGGCACTAGCAGTCTCCTCAAAAGCCCGTCCAGGATGAAACACATAGCCCAGAATCTCCAAGTCATGCTCCACCGCAATCTCATTCCCGTCACGCACCTCATCAGGACGAGAAATACTCCGCCGATTGACGTGCATTGGATAACGGGTCTCACCAGTCTTGCCAGCCCAATCAAAGCCAAGCAACATCAAACTATCGCTCCTTCTCCACCGTCACGCGCAAACAAATTCACATCGCAAAGGTCACCATGAACGTAACCCTCGGCGTGCAACTCGTGGATAAAATCAGTGATGGCCTTCTTGAGCGGTCGAAAGTCCGAGACATCCATCTCACTGAACTTTCGATATGAGCCAGTTCGTCGCACGAAGTGTTCATCTTCAATATTAATGTCAAGGGCGTCCGTAACTACCATTTTCCAGCCGCCGGGTAAACACTCGTAGGAGAGAAATTTTGAGGCGAATGATCTGAATGGAAGAGAGAGTGGCAGCGTTTATAGAAAAACTTACCAGCAGTTTGCTGTTTAAAAACAATATGTGAACAACCTTTATCGTATCCCAATAATTAAGGGGTGGCTCGGAGTCCAAAGGGTGGCTTTTGATATTATGCTCAATTGCGTCGTTGAAAGGTAGGCAACTTTCCAGGGCTGAAGACCGGCTGGGCTGTAAAACGTGTAATTTGCGGACCTCTGGATTCACATGCATGAATGCGTCTTTGGAGTAATCGCCATAGCTGCGCTTTAAATCGCTGTCGAACAAATATGGTCGGGGCTATCGCCGAACAACAAGCAGTTTAGGTGAAGAGCTTCATCGGGGAGGACGGACATCATGAATTTTAGCTGGAACAGGGATTGCACGTCATAGGAGGTTCTTTCCATGGTCAACAAGCGCAAACAAATCCTATAGGGCGTCCAAATTAACTCCCGATTTGAATGCTGAATTATTATGTTCTTGTAAACGTGTCCTTTCAAGCAACCCTTTAAGCTTTAGGGCTTGAATTGAATCAATCCTCGTAGAATCGCAATACCTTCAGGCTGCCATCTTACAACACACATGACGACTGATGCTCACGATCATCATGTTTTTCGCCAACCGGGGAAAGCTGCAGACCTACACGGTCACCAGTGCCACAATAGCACTAGCATGCGAACTTTGCGCTTCGAAGATCTGGCACTAATAGTATCCCCGCCGCAAGTTCAACGTGTTAACTCCCCTTACTCGGACGCTTTCATTTTTACCGTACATGTGGCGAACAACAGGCTTAGCTAAAACTTAAACCGCGGTGGTTTCATTGCAGTTCGGTAACGCTGGCACTGGAGCAACTTCAAGTCTTACACTACTGGGCCTGGGGACATATAGGCCGCGCAGTTGCATGTGTTCTTGTCCGAACCGGTGTGCAGGGATTTTTCAGTACGTATGTCAAACTTACTACCTTCATCAGACACGTGTGAAGAGCATGTCGGATTACAGGTAGGCCGATTGAACACTGTCTCAGTCGATGAACGATTTGGGGGTGCATGTAGGCGTTGCAACCCTTGTCCACGTGCCTTCCCGCAACAAAGGTGACTTTTGACGACTCAATGAGCTCCTTCATTCACCGTTTTTCGCCTTAAATGACTCACAGATCCTTGATATCCACCATCTGACCACTTTCTCATGTCTCGACCGCCAACATCCACGATTTACTCTTCCCTTGGCTCGTCTGATGCTGCACAAACCATGAACAACTCCCCAACTTTATGGGACATGCTGTCGACCACTGCTCTTAACAGATGCTGGCCTGTGTTGATTTGCACCGCTATCTGGTCGTCCGCACTATGCGTGCTTAATCACTATACCCACGGGAAACTGTCAATTCAGCCAACTCTCATTACCGTGTAAGATTCTCTCGGCCCTAGCCAATAATCAACCAACTCTTGCTACAGGTTCGGTACCGTCCTAGGTTTCGTAATATCTTTTCGAACGACGTCCAGCTTCGAACGTTATAACGATGGCCGGAAATATTGGGCCCAAATTGTGCTTAACTGCCGTACCTTTTCTCGAACTGTCTGGTTTCATGTCCCAGGTACGCAGGTTCGCTCTTTTTTGCCAGGTCAACTCAAACAGATTCTAGATAATACTATATCTGCTTCGACCAAGGATCACCCACTCTCTCGTGAAGAAACGGAACGAGACCAAGCTAAGACTTTGATTGAGAAGAAGACTGTAATCAATTTGCTCGAGGCCTACGCTATCAGCGTCAAGCACTACTTGCGTGGGGAAGACGGAATTCGCTATGAAGATCTGCACCCGCTCGTCTCCTTCCTCTCACTATGCTCTTACTCGCTCCCTGCCATCATCCCCTCTGCAAATCCACTAGAGTTGTGTCGTAGGTCGACACGTGCAAGCTCACACTCTCACAGTAGTCACGATGCACCAGCGTCCCCTGTAACTACCCAGGCGCCTGCGTCCCCGTATCACCGATCTGCAATTCCGTTGGCGACCATTCCTGAAGATACATTGCGATCTGACAATCGAAACATACCATTTGCAAAAGAAACCACGGTCGATATCATCGAACCGCATGATCATGGAGATCTTATTCTACCCGCAGCAATACCTCCCATGAATTCGTGGCGAAAAGCCTTTCCGTTCTCGTTCTTCTTTTGGGTATGGACAACTATACAGAAAGACGCTGGCAAAGCCGCTGGTGTGAATGACGTACATCCAAATTTTCGTTACAGAAAGCACAACGTGCCGTTGGAAATATCTTTGTTCTTGGTACGTGTGTCTTCGCCACGCGCGGAAAAATCAAGGCCTCATTTTGGTTCTTACAGAGTTCTTACATCGCCGCACTGCAAGCCCGTAAAGCTGTGGATGCCCCAACTCTAAGTATGTTGTTCTTGTTGATGTGTTCTCCACTATCGGTGATAAATTTCTTCACAGCTCTGCTTTATGCAACGCTTAATCAGCTCGTGGATGCCCTGACTGGGTTAGAAAGGATCCTCACCACCCCAATCCCTGTCTCGTGCGTGATTATCAGACTCTTTCCACCTACGATATCCCTCACTCCTCACCCAGTTACTCCTCGCATCTGTGGATGGTTACACTAGTTTATTGTATAGCTTTGGTACGCAGGGATGTTTTTTGTCCACCCGCAGCTAACCGATATCGCCGCTTTATTTGGTAGCCCTTCCAGCTGTGGTCCACACTTAAGTGGTTAACCGTCCCAGCGTCTGTAATTGCCGTAAGTCGCATTCTGACGTTCTTGCCTTGCTGTGTCTCATTTAGCTGCACAGAGCTTTATTTTCTTTGGGTTCGTCGTTGCCGGCGAGGAAATAGAGAGTGAGTATTAAAGCTAAGATGTTGCGCTCGTTGATTTAACATCACATCTTAGATCCATTTGGCAAGTTGGTCCGTTCTGCGCGACTGAGATAAATCTTATTGTTATCCATTCAGGCTATGACAGGAATGACTTGGTGCGTCTGTCGTCTGTGACTGGTGATGGCGTCATCTCACGCAGGAAATAAAGAACATGGATCATTTTGTCCAAAATATCATACGTAAGCGATATCGTTTTCCGGTTGTATTTTTCTTATTCTGTCTGCCCAGGGAAAGAACTTCGTGCTATTACAGCCATGCCGACCCCAGACCCGGCAGAATGGGTGTTCTCGCCTCAGAATGATTTTCTTGGAACACAGTCAAGGGGCATTGCCCTGGAAACACCGTCCGCGTGGCTTGAAAAGGGAAGAATGGAAATCCTTACAGCTTTACATGGGTAGGTTGTGCGTAGCAAGTTATGAGTGCTAAACTTACATTTTTGTAGGAGTGGAGGCACTACTGAGGATGCACGCTGAGTCGTGTCCGCTACTCGACACTCACGATTTGTTTGGGCGGATGCGAGTCTTTACTGTGTGGTGGAGCTTAGGGATCTTGATGAGACGACAAAGAAACCTTAGCCAGAGTCCATTACTTATTTCGATCCTATGTTTGACCTTTGCATATACCGATTGTGCGATCCCGGCTATCATGATATCTGAGTCTGAGGTATCACAGATAGTGAAAAAATATGCGCATCAGGTCTAGATCTGACAATTTATATAATCGAGTTCAAAGGATGGCGGTTTCACCAACTGCATCGATCTCGATGTAGAGGTGCGACCAAGACTTCGTGGAAGCTCCCATCAAAATCTGTAATTCCACATAAGATCGGACATTCGTTGCACCTAACATACGAGTACAAATAACCACTGATAGCTTCTCTGCTAATAATCTCCTGAGGCCTTATTAAAGGTATGACTCCTGGTAGTGCAAAGACGTAAATTTATCACTGGTGTTAACGTGAACTATGTGCAACCTACCTATGCAAAGCGTGATGAATCTTCTTTTCTCCCTTTTCAAGCCAGGCAGCCAGTATTTTGTCCGGGCTGTCCTTCGAATATTTCTCATCTTGAAGAAAATTGTTCTCATTCGAGAACGCCCATATCTTCGGGTTTGGGGTCGGCGTGGCTGTAATAGCATGAAGTTCCTTCTCTAAACGGGTAGAGTGAGAAGAATAAAACCCGGACAGTGATCAAACTGACGGATGATATTGCGCACAAAATGATCAATTCTCTACATTCATGGTTGAGTGAATATATTCCCCATTGGGAAAAATAAACACACCAAATCATTCTTGTCGTAGCCTATTAGATAGATGACAGTAAGATTTGAATCGGTCATTCAAAATGGGACAACTCACCAAACGGATCTAAAACGATGTGTTAAATGAATGAGCAAAAATCTTGGGTTCAGAACTTACTTTCAATTTCTTCCCCGGCAACAACAAAGCCATAGAAAACAAAACACTTGTAGTCAAGTGAGACACGACGACACAATGAAGCATCACCAAAATTCCTGAAGCTAGATAAGGGCAGGTCAGCACAGGTCTAGACATGGAAGGTCACAAAAGGCGTACCAGACACATCAGCAAGCAGAAGGTGGAGGAGTGGTCTATCAGAACAGAGCTAGAAGCAGGATTGTTGCTCAGCACGCCAATGTTGGGTAGTTGTATTGGACCTTAGCAGAATGTTTGACCTTAGGGGTTCTGATTCGTTCTGATCCGATGTTAAGAGCTGATAAGACATTGTCATTGCACTAAGGTATTACATGGTACGAGCAGTCATATGGGTACATCTAATCATGGTTCAGACATGAATTGCATTGAGGACGAAAAATATGAGTGAGGAACAAGCGATGACAGCATGCAGATAACGAGACAGCGAATGAATCCAGCCATGAGAGCAGAAATGAATCGTAAAACAGTGAGTAAACTTTGGGAATCAGAGCATTAATGAGTAGCGTCAGAAAGTGGATTACAGCTGAAGACGTGCATTAGATTAAATCATCGTTTTGAAATTAGAGGATGGGACTCGCATTCATTTCCTTGTTTTCCTTTTCTTTGGCGCAGCTTGAGTTGCCTTCGCCTTGGAGGCAGTGGCAGGTTTGGCACCTTTGCGTGGTGATCTCCGAACCTGTTGCTCCTCGTCAGGCTCACCTTCAGACACAGCTGGACTTTCGACCCTCCTCCTCTTTGATGTAGAGGTCTTCGCCTTAGAGGCAGTGGCGCTGCTGGCAGCGGCCTTGGAACTTTTGCGTGGCGATGTGCGAGGCTGAAACTCGCGTTCCTCATCCGACATGTTTTGCGTCAGCGGGCTTTTGAATTCCGCTGCCTTTGGTTTCTTGCGAGGAGGCGGCGAGGTGGGTTGCAGTGCTGTATCTGCATCAGATCTAGTAGGAGGTGGTGTAATTGGTGGAGAAGGAGATCTACGAGGTGGAGTGGGTGATCGAGTAGGTGTTTGATGTACAGGAAGCGATGGACGTTGGGCGCCGGCACTGTGTGGTTGAACACATCAGCAAACTACCGGGTGCCTGTACAAAATTGCACAATTTTGTGCAATTTTGTACAGACTCACAGAACCTACAGCTAAGTCCCCTCTTTGCAGGTTTGTACAATAGGCCTACAATCTGTAGAATTTGTTACAATGTGGACAGATAGCCACAGGATGTGCAACATGTCTGAACTGCACAATGTGTGCAACATGTCTGAACCGCACATCCTGTATGAATAGTACTAGCTGCACATCATGTATGAATAGTAGTAGCTGCACATGGGGAACATGATCATACAAACAGTCATCATGATTGTGAAACTAAATGAAAACATTGAGCATTGAACAGCGCATTAAAGTATGATATTGATGTCCCCCGCGTCACTGCCTGCACCACTCCCATCTGCATGCCAATCAAATTCGCCCATACCAATCTTAGCCCATTGCTCCAACATTTCTTCGAGCTCTTCACGACGTTCTGGGATGTCGAGCAACGTGTTGACGGATTTCTGCAACTTGTCGAAGTCGGTCCTGCATCTATCAGCGCTGAGTTCAGGAACTTTGTCGCTGCCGGTGTCGCTGAATCCAGAAATAACGCCCTTCATCTATTGCAACATCAGTGACGAAAAACAAGATAAAAAACGACATAGCGCACGACCGCCGCCACGAGAATGAGAGCATTGATGGGAATTGTCTGGCGGAAGTCGTCCGTGTTCTTCAGCGCCTTCTTGCTGTTGCTGTAGAAGAACTCGAGACACACATCCTTGAGAGCCTGCGATACAAAATTCTTGAATTTGCCCTGCGAGAGAAAACAGTGAGTAGCGCTATTGACACGAGGGATCACCTACGTTAGACGAATCAGGGATCCGGAGGTAATCACCGGTCTTGAGCAGCGCGGTGGCAGCTGTGACGATATGTTTCTTTATTTGCTCTGGTAGCATTGCGGTGCCCTTCGGGAAGATGTCGTACGACGATTTGGTGATGGAGATGACAACCTTCTTAAGCTCTGTACGGAACGTGAAGAGATCATCGCAAAGCTAATCAGCGTATCAGCGAGCACGTTCACCATCGATAAATGAAAGACTTACCAGCCGGCACATCTGTGGGCTATATTCCGGAAAGTAGCCTTGCAGTAAGACATGAGATGACTGGAAGAAAGCGGCAGTACAAGGAGAATTTACCGTTCTCAAATTTGAGCTTCTTCTGGTGGCATAGCCACAACTCAGCGTCCAAGACTTCTTGTGCCAGTTGCACGGCATCCTGGTGTTTTGGAATGGGATGGGTGAGAATAGCTTGCAATCGCATCTGCAACTTTGCTGCCTGCGGGAGTCCTTGCCAACAAGCTGGATAAAACCCAAGCTTGGAAGGGTTCTCTTGGTTTGTCTTGACGTTTCGTGTGCGGCGAGCACCAGCGGGCGTAGGGCTACGAGAGCATGAACGACTGGGAGTAGTTGCATGGTCGGAACGAGTCCGCAACGGAGAGTGTCTGTGGGAAGAGGGCAGCGCACGACTACCAGAGGAAGTGAGTGGCCGAGACGGGGAGCGCCGACGTTGAGACTTTGTATGCAAAGAAGACTGCGTGGATGTTACTTGACGATACGAGCGTTGGCGTGGAGACCTGGAGCGAGTGGAAGACTTATGCGAATGAGGCAGCGAGCGTCTACGTCGAGAAGGTGGCGCTTGAACGGAAGAGGCACCCCCAGATGGCGCATGTTGACGAGATCCCGAGCGGCCATTACATTGAGACAGGCGTTGACGAGGAGATTTCGAGCGGTCGTTACGTCGAGATGGGCGTTGGTGAGGAGACTTAGAGTGAGTAACTTTTGAAAGATATGATGGCGAGGGAGCCTTGCGTTGTCCGTTCTGCGCTTGATGACGTTCGAGAACATCATAAGTCTCCTACACAGAACATCAATGAGTGAATACGATCGAATAGATGAGAGTACATTATCTTGGCCCTCCACATTCATAGGCTCGTCCTCCCAGTCACGCTCTTGACCTAGATCCCCTCCATCTGAATCCACTCCACCCCCTCCATCTAAATCCCCTCCGTCTAAATCCCCTTCGTCATCGCCACCGTCTTCAGACGGTGCACCTAAACGTTGACCGGAATTCTCGCTGTCGTTTAAATGCTGATCTTGCTCGGCTCCATCCCTGCAATGAATATGTTAAGAAGCCACAGGCGAAAAAGGATTAGCACTTGCGTATCGTTGTGCTCCTCGAGGTCAGCACGTTCATGCGAGTGGCGCGCAGACTCTCTATTGTCGTCGTCGTCTCGTTCGTTTGCCTCCTGTGCGGCCATTCTGCGATTGCTTGACTGAGATGCCCTCTCGATACGATGTACGCTGGTAGTAGACGCAGGTGCCTTAAATCCGAACCTGTCAGAAGAGCAACCGGTACGTAGCACTGGACGAGGAGAAGTGTAGGCTGAATGATGCCTCACATTGTCGCCGGACTTTTGAGATGATCGCTTAAGATTTTTACTCGTAGTTGGAGGTGTCGTGGATGCAGGTTTTTGCTTGGTAGCGTTTTTTGCAGCCGGAGGTTTTGCAGAAGCCTGACAAGATCATAGCTCGAACATCGTCAAGATAAAATGAACTTACACCTTTCTTCCCCTGACGCAGCTGCGCAGGAGCCATTGAATTTTCTTCAGGATCACTGGCGTCAAGCTCAGGGTAATCATTTTGCCCTTTCCGATTCCTCGCCGGTGCTGCTATAGCTTCTCCAGCTTTTTGGAGCTGTGCTGCGTGGCCGCCAACACCGCGATTAGATCTTGAGCTTTGTCGACAAGGTGCTGGCTCATCTTGATCATTGACCGTAGAACGTCTAGCCCTCTTCTTGGGAGGCATCGAGCAATATTGTCAGCTGCGACTGCGACAAAGCTGTGAGGAACATTGCAGGTTGGTTAGTTATTGATCTCACGTAAGCGTATGTTATGTAATCAGTCAGTATGCGATACAAGGTACAGTGGGCATCCTCAAAACAAACGAGATTCACAGTAGACCGAGGGAAAAATGTATGAGTAAAGTCGCCAGGACAAAACAAGTAGGCTCGGACAAGGACAAATAGGTTTGGAAAGAAAAAGGCATGGTAAAACTCGGATCAAGATGACAAACTTCTCTCTAGTACTATCTCATCGTGTCTTAGAAGCAAGTCGCTTAGAATGACGTGAGCCTGGCTGACTAGTCGAAAACCATATTGCGCCACTACGTGGAAGGGTTGAAGGACCTGCGGTGGGCTGAAGAGTAGGAGACTGAGGAGGAGGACTGGGCAGCGGGATTGGGATGGGGATGGGGATGGGTATTTCCTCCTCGAGTTTCGTGATGAACGTTACAAGCATCTGGAGTATGTGATCGTGAATGATTGATTTACTGGAATCGAGGTCTGTGAGGTGGATATGATTGCGCCATTCATTGACTAGGGGTTTGAATTCCGAAAAATAATCGGAGACTCTGTCCATTAGAAAGTCGCCACAGGATATGGCCCCCTTCTTCGATAAGAAGGTGGTAAGCAAACCACTGGCGGCACCTAAGTTTTCATAGGCCTCCGACCATGGCATCGCCTGCTTATTCCATGTCGGTGAGACTTTACCGTGTGCCCCCCCATACTTCGTAACAAATTCGAAAAAAATATAGAACATCGACTCGAGGTCATCGCATGCGTGGTGTTCGATTAAGTGCAGCTGAGTAGGGTCAGGTGTCTTTTTGATGGTCTCGGCATTCCTCGACATCATCTTCAGGACGCGCATGGAGATGTATGGGATAGTCCCCTAGAAAAAATATAAGTTCAAAAGCAAGAACAATAAACCGGAAATGAAATCTTACAGTTCCAAATGAAATTGTAGACGTCTTGCCTTCCTCTAAAAATCCGGCATGATCGAAATCGATGAAGTACCCGATACCCTCGTGAAGGATAAAATTGTTTGGGCTGAGGTCCCCGTGTAGAACTCCACGTTCGACCATGAGTCCATGAGCTAACAATACATAATTAAACCTGAATTTGACGCATTGAACTGAACTGAACTGAACTCACCAATGACAAAGTCACGAAAAGCGCATACCAGCTCCTTCCTAGAGCTGAACTCTGATAGTGGTTTTCCACAAGGGGTCATGACAAGCCGCTGGTGATATCAATTACAGAACCTGTAATCACCTCTATCGTCTGGGTCAAACCGCTGATAGCGATCACGAATTTGTGCTGTACAGTCGGGCTTCCCGTCAAACATGACATCCCAATGATCCACGAGTCGAACAACATTAGGGATGCCCTTGACTCGCTCGAGAACGGTCGCTTCATGATATCGCTTTGCCGCAGGTACCCAACAGTCCTTCATCGCATAATCCTTCCCATCAGTAGGATCTCTGACGCGATAACAAACCGTTCCGCGACAGAAGAAACCCTGACTCTTCCATAACACATCCATGATCGAGTATGTTTTACCACTATTATTGACAACCCATCCTTGCGCCCCCTCGGCCAGAGAGGGGTGAGTACCCTTGCAAGCAACGATGCACATATGGATGGTGGGGTCGAGGCCAAAGTACATCGGATCTGCTATCGCGGTTGTGGCTATTGCCTCGAGGACACGTATCGGGTGTGTATGGATGGGGGTCGGAAGGGATATGATGAGGCCTGAGCGGTCAAAATAATGGGCGCGAAGTTTTTCTGCACAAATGGAGTAGGCGAGAACGAAGCGACGCCACGGTTGTTCTCGCATGATGAGGTACGCCTTGGTGGTAGATCCACAATACACTGATAAATCAGGAGATGCAACAAAATTGCTGGAGGTGTGTTCCACGAAGCTCAAGACATCAACCCATCTCTTTTCCTCACGTTTGTTCATGTAATAGAACAGGGCGACATCGGGCTTCTGCGTGTTGTATAGGTCTGGTATGGGTGAGTTGGCAAACTCGGCAGACCAGTACCGCTCGATGGGCGAAATTTCATAGGGAAGTTTCTTCGCGTATCCAGTTCGATTACACAGGGCCCACTGAACAGCATGGAACAGGTACTGTAAGTCCCTCTCAGTCGAACTCTTTTTCCGTTTCCTCTTTGATCCTGCCTTTACACTGCCATTGAATTCATCGTCACTCCCGCCGTCGGTCCCTTGGGAGAAGATTGTTGAACCATGAGAATCCAAGGCCTCAAGTTCTGCACGCAAATCATCCGAGTCAACGATGTCTGTATCGGTGGCATCCCTCCCTGAACCCTTGCTCTTTTTCCTGCGGCTGTAATTCCACTTGTTTTGTATGTATACAGATGCGCCGTCCTTCTTGTGGTACCTGATCTTTTCGACGTGATGATTTTGGAAGGTCGATACGGGGATGAGCGCACGGAAAATGGAGTCGGCAAACTTCATCTGGGCAAGGCCAGACTCATCAATGACATGGCCATCAAGCTCTGCCCTCAAAAGGCCCTTGACAGTATTAATTGTGCGTCCGCCTACAGGTGGGAAGCCCGCAGAGCTGAGTGATGCCCCGCAAAGGTAAGTGTCGAATGAAGTGGCACCAGGAAGTTCGAGTGATGAGGTTGTCGTCATTGGTGGTTCACCACCGGCTGATGAGTCTGAACTGGAAGACATGCTGTGGAATGGTGTCTGGTAGGAGATTTGCCAGTGTGCGATGTATCTGACTACTGAATACTAGCAGTGTCTGTGCAGCCTGCACAAGTGTGCACAGGCATGCACGGGTGTTGACGGCCTTGTCGGGATTCACACCGTGGTGTCGGCTTTGTCGGGACTCACATTCATACTACTCAAATCAACCGATTTCACTCGTTGCAATTCTTTTTGACTAGTGGGGTACAGTAAAGGTATCTATCCTTGCGAGAGGGCAGCATATATCTGTTTGTCAAAGTACTTGTTTAAGAAAAAAGATGAATGGTAATGAGCAGAATTCACATACTGCAGTCACTTTACCCTTGATAGAAACAGATAGCCGAGGTTGAAATATCCCTGTTCTACACAGGCCAGCGGATGTGGGCTGATGAATGTATTGTTCTGTTAAATACAGGTGGGCCGACACCAAGTATTTATCTGATACAATCAATGGGCCCATGGTGTGTGGTATAGTAGATAAGTGTAGACATTCTATTGACTTTGGTAGATAGTGTATGGTAGGTATTGTATGAAATATGTACCTGATATGAACGGGTCGGCCGGTCGGGAGTGTGTATCTGATACCAACGGGTCGGCCGGTCAAAGAGTGTAGTATGTAGTGTAGTAGATAAGTGTAGACTTTTCTATTAACCTTGACAGGTAGTGTAAACAGTATGTACCTGATTTGAACGGGTGGGCCGAATGGGCAGTTGTGCCGATATGTACAGATGGGCCGAGGTGGTATAGATCATGCCCTGGACCCCCTCGGTAAAAAGATGCTCGGTAACATAGCCCCTCGGTCAAAAGATGCTTGGTGACATACCCCCTCGGTAAAAAGATGCTCGGTGGTATATCAAGAATATGTCGGTCAGTCAACATGTTGAGATTGAGTACATATCATCCGCAACATACTTGCAAAGTCAAATCACAGTGAAATCGGTCGGTCGGTCAG